GGAATATTCGGTCACTTTTCGGCTTTTTTTGTTGTTTCGCATGTGAGAGGAAATGGCGTGCCAAAAGAAACACCAAGCTTGCGAGTAAAACACTCCAGAATCCGCACAGATGCGCGCCACAGCCCACTTGCTCTACTGGATCCCACCGGTCGCATTGTCGGCCCGCAGTCGGGTATCTGAAACACATGATCTCTCAACGTTATTCTCCAGCGCCCAGTCTCCAAATTGCTGAAATTGCAGGCATGCTCAGTCCACCATGCCAATGGTACATTCTTGTGGGCCACGTGACTCATTGTTCCACACTCCCCTTCGTTCGTCCCTCCAGAGCGGCTGTCATACCTTGGCTACCAGTCAGTCGCCATGGCTGTGTTTACACACACACAACCAGACACACACACAACACAGTTTTCAATTTTATCATTGGGTTTTTACACCGTGGCATGATTAACATTCTTACCAACGCCCCATGAACACTTTTTTTTTAAATAGCGCCTATTATCATTTTACTTATTAATAAATCATTGGCTACCATAACCCAATACAAAAGTCATATCATGTTCGGAGTGTGGCTACCGGGGGCACACTTGGGGTGACATTCCACGACTCGGGCGCTCAAACCACACACCGTATATATCACGCATGGCTTATAAGCCGCAAATAGTTACACTTTTTACAGAAAACCGACACGGCGAAAAATAGACGCGTGTCTGGCACTGCTTTACGCGGTCGACCTGACGCAGGGATTTTTTTTTCAGACGGCGTAATAATAATGGGCAACCTGGTGGGAAGGCACTGAGGCAGTGCCTTTTTTTCCGAAGCAACGCTCTCGACGCCACTGAATTGTACCGCAAACACGTGGCGGCCTTGACATCGTTGGGCGCGCGGCCTCTTGTGAAGTGTTCAGTGCACGTTTCGTGACATCGTGAAGACGCGACGCACAGACTGCACACACCAAAGACAAGAATACCCCCCCACACCCCACCCCCCCCCCCGTATAGCATTCAACAGACTTTTGGGGCGACCAACCTGTATGAAAGATCGGCACAGCACGCGAAGCTGTGAGTGGTCAGCACCACGCCAGGCCGCATTTGTCTCCCGAGTGGCGATGTAAACACATTTGCAACTGAGTCGACCTAGGGGAGGCCCGGGACCGGTTCATATAATCGTCACTGGTGTTGGCCGTGAGTGGGAATTGAGCCCGGGTCGCCAGGTTCATAGCGCAGCGCGCTAACCGCTGCACTATCGCTCCCCACAAACACACGTACGCACGCACACACCCGATGTTGGGCAGTGTGTAACTTGCTTAGGGGCCGTCCATAAATGACGTCACGCACCTAGGGGAGGGGTCAGACATTTGTGACGATGTGTGACGACGGGGGGGGTTTGAGAAATGTGACGTCACATCAAAATGCGCAACTTTAAATAAATATAGACAACACGTTCTACTTAATTAAATATACTTTTTAATAAATGTTTTCTCCTACTACATCAGAGTGCAGCGCCACATTAAATACGCACTACAATGACAATAGTTTAAAGCGATTTGAAACATGTTTTATTTGGGGGGGAGGGGCAGAGCTTTGTGACGTCATATTTGAGGGGGGGGGGGGTCTGAGTTTTTGTGACGCCGTGTGACGAAGGGGGGGGGGGGTCAAAAATCGTCCGAAACGACGATGCGTCAAGCGTTCATTGGGATCGTAAATACATTTCCTCTGTAATGTGCCCCCATTATTTTTTCCGGGAAATCTACCAACGGATCTTGCTATAGCGTTACATGTCTGCATAAAACCCCCATGCCAACAACGTATACACAGGGTTGACCGGGCAAAGACAAATCTGTTGTTGCACTGCGCTTCTGTTCCCTCGACGTATGTGCTCCCTGCCTCCACCCAATCCCCGATGACCAGCGTGGTGAGGTATGGCCAAATGAATACCCCGCACGACCACGCAGTAGCGTGGGGGAAGAAGGCTCTCATCCAGCCATGGGGATTGACAGAGGCTGTGCACACGTGCTCCGATTCGCTCCCACGTTGCGCTCATTCATAGGAAGTGGTCAACCATCCCTAGGTGAATGAGTCGCTATTGTTACGTAAGTGTTCCCGACATGCACGCGAGCACGTACATGTCGTTCTTGTTCGTGGCTATTATACTTCTGTGAATACAGTACATCTTGCTTCGCCAATCTTGAAGAGTTACACAAATTCCACTCCATTCACACTACCCTTTAAAACTGCTCATTAAAAAAAAACCCGATTCATTATTAAGATCAAGATTTTGACAACAAAGCCCTCTTCGGAGTAAGTAATAGAGCGTAGGGATGCTTACTACACTTACCTCTTTAAGATTCGTTACTTCATGTACGGTACGTACGTCTTGACCTATGACCAATAGATACTCCCTGCCTTCAGTAGTCCGCAGTGACCAGCGTGGTGAAGTATGGTCAAGTAGCTGCCACGGTCCGCCACGCCACGGTTACAGCCGACATCCAGCAGAGCATTGACACCACAAGCTCAATGTGCGATTTAATGATTCCACAAACGGATGGGCGAGGAGCGTCAAATAATGGATTGGAAGTGCCATCACGGCTTAGGTTTTCACTGGACATTTTCCCCAAGACGTTGGTATTAAGACTGGCTTGGAGTGTGGATTACTGGCGTAAGGCACTACCACTAGAGTACAAGGTACGCCTATCCATAATCCAGTAATTTTATATTAATATTCAACATCTTTAGTGAAACTGCGTTTGGGCAGTGGTGCAAAAGCACAAATAACACGAAAATGTGTGTGCTATGAAGAAGGGCCATTGCTCAAAACGTCGCCTGTTATATATATCTTTTTTATGGCAGTGTCATTTATGAATGTGTTGAGTTTTGCTATATTATTGCACCGTATGTTCCTATAATCCTCTGAACAAGTTTATAAGGCGAGTTGGATGTGGCGTGCCAAAACAAGTCCGGGGGAACAGCGTTCCCCCGGACTCTGCTCCGGCCGATTTCCACCACTGCGTCACCACCCAGCGAAGGAAGCCAAGAAGATACTGGAGTGATGCTTCCCGTGGAAAATGTTGATGCGGTGATATTTGGAGAGGGGGAGGGGGCGGAACTGAATGTGGTACCTCCAATTGTGAGTGTACCCCCCACCCACAAACCCTCGTTACCTGCAAGCCCGTAGCGTGGGGTAATTAATTAAACGTGAACCCCCCCTCCTCCTCCGCCCGCGCCTGCCCGCCCCCCATAGCTTGATTAATTGCACGTTAACTCGGGGGAGCCGCAAGAGCGGGCCTGGCTGGCGGAGCTGGCCGCGAGCCCCCTGTATGCACGAGGAAGCTATTATAGGCGCTCCACAGTTCTTCATGCGCACTCATTACCGTGGGGTATGCGCGCTATGCGAGAAACACGTGTGTGTTTACACGCGTGCGTGTGTGTGTGTGCGCGCCTGAGTGAGTGTGTGTATGTATGTAAGAGTATTGGTGTGGTTGGGAGAACGTGGTAACGTGGTGCGGTGGTTTGGTGGTTGGCGCGCACTGCGCTACGTCGAACCCGTTGAACCTGGGTTTTGGTTCCTGGCCACGGTCAACATCAGCGGCGAATGTTTGAACCGGTCCTGGGCCTCCTCCACTAGGTCGGCTCGGCCTTAAATGAGTAACTTGGGTTTGCGATGTGTAAACATCGACACTGGGGAGGCAAAAGCGGCCGGGCGTGGTGTTGCCCACCCCACTCCCCTTGTGCGCCGTGCTGGCCTTCATAGGTCCTTCCCAACAGTAAGTTAAAGGCTATACGGGGCACATTTGTCTTTGTGCTCATGTGGGGAGACGTCGCGTAGTGGTTAGAGCATCGCGCTACGTCGAACCCGCCCGCCTGAGTTGAATTCCCAGCGGCCAAAATATGAAGCGGCCCTGGGCCCCCTTCCTACTCTAGGTCGACGATGTAAGCGTAAATGGGCAAGTAGGCGCGACACCAGGAAGACAAAGGCGATCCGATCGTGTTTCCGCTCACACCGCACTCTCATACATACTCGCCCCATCACCCTATGCGTGCTACACGGGAGAATCGTTGTCCTGTCTGACTGCGGGACTGTATTCTGAAGACAGAAACCTGAGTTGGATTTCTGGCCATGGGGCTAGAATGAGTGGCGAACCGATCGGAGACGCTCTCCATCACCAGCCCGCACTGACCACGGTGTTGTCCAGCGGTTGATTGACACCGGTGTATGCAAATGACAATGGTGTTAATGAAGGCGGTGTTGATTCTGATAGTGATGATGACGCCAATAACAGTACCAATAGCTTGTGGTGATAACGATGATTGGGGGCTGATTCGTGAAAGCGATTTACAGTATAATCGTAAATCTCGGAACACTACTCATTTCTAAATCTGTTGTAGTCATTTTTGTATTACTTTAGCATAAATACATGTTTATTTTGATTCATATGTTGTTTTTTTTCTGACTTTATGTGATCGAAAAGACACAAATTCGCCCGTTTTCTCATTGAAAATAGGCACAATTCAATATATCACTGTTCTGGTCACAAAGCAAAGTTTGTGGGAAATAATAGCCATTTTATATACTTTTTAGGCATAAGCAATTACGAAATAACACTTACTACCCAGGAACATAGTGTTATGATGTAGATGGTAATGATGATTAATATTATTCAGTTGATGGTGATAATAATGATTATGTTGATGATGGCATAGCTGAAGATGGTAATAATATTTACGATGATGGTAACGATGGTGTTGATGGTAATGATGATGCTGATGGTAATAATGATGTAGATGACAATGATTATTCATATTATTCAGTTGATGGTAATAATAATGATTATGATGGACAATGATGAAGATGACATCGACGATGATGATAGTGCTGACGGCTCAAGTCCACGCGAGGGCGCGCGCACGTGCTCGGCGCCAATGGCGACGGGCCGCCACCACGTGATGCAATCCCAGCCAATCCCAGCCGAGTCCGCAACGTCTCGACGCCCCCCCCCCTAGTTACGCCGTTGCCACGGGCAACGCGCGGCGACCTTAGCAACGACGCCGCCCAGAACCGACCGAGAGGTAAAACTCGCAACTTCAAAAAGAGACTTTTAAAACCAACAAAAAAACCCAACTAATACGCATTTTTATTTTAGAAACAAATTCGAGCAACGGCTCATCGTAATTGTGTTATAAACGATTTTTTTTGTTTGTTTAATTATTTGCTGGCGGAGGTCTCGAACGCGGTGCGGATGATGATGATGTGATCTCGACATCTCCCTATTCGCTGTGGGTGTCGTAACAAGTAATGGTTCTTATTGCTGCTGCTGCTGCTGCTGTTTGTTGTGATTGTTAAGGCTCATCCGTTTATGCATTCGTCGTTGTTGTTGTTGTCGTTGCGCCTTGTGTTACGTGTGAGGCTCTTTAATTAGCGAGTAGCTGGTTAACCAGAATCTCTCCATTGATTGGGGCCGAATGTCCAGAGCACTTTCATTTGTGTGACATTTTTTTGGGGCAGTATCAAACTATTAAAACAAATAGGAATAGGTTTTACCCTGCCTGGCAATAAAACAGGAGGCGTTAAGATGTTCAAACGCATTAACCACACAAACAATTCCCTGCACAATGTATCTATTTTGTGTTTAAACATCTTAACACCTGATTTATTTCCAGATAGGCTAAAAACCTATGCTTGTTTTTTTTCATAGTTAATTTAAACAAAAACATATTTACCCCCTTAACGTTTACGAAACAAATAGGACCCCTCTATGCCAGTGGCTGGCGTGGTGAAGTATGGTCAATACAGCATCCCCTCTTTCAGATAGAATCCTGCTTTAAATAACTTAAGGTACACACGACTGCAAACAACCAAAAGCAATCAGTAGACACGCTGGCTTATTAATTATAAAGCTACTTGAGATGCAACCCAAATAAAACATTACGTCACGTGGTTCCCACACTGTGTGTTCCGGTCTGTCTAATACTAAAATAACCAAAATAACAGTAAGAGCCGTTTTTTAGAATTCAGTCAAATAAACTATTTCAAGGGCCGCAATGCATGTAATGGGTGCGTAATAAATAACGTCACGGAAGCTTAGTTGATGAAAAAAAATTGAAAAAAAGTATGTCGCAGTGATGTCCACAGAGATGTGTTTGAAATGTTTCGTCCTCTTTTTTACTTCTTGACAAATTGGGACAATATTTTATTTCACAATTTCACGATCAACCCAAAGCGGTATTTTTGCCAACCACGCAGCTAAAACGTGGGATTAGCATTACAAACAGAGCAACTTTTGATTTAAAGCTTTCGTGACTGCAGGGATTCATATTCTTGGTTCTATCGGTAAAGTCACGTAGAAGGGAAACAATAAAATAATAAAAATATAAAACAATAAAATTCTCACGACGTTTCGGCTGCGACACAAGCAATCATCATCAGGTGTGAAAACCACAGCAAGAAATAAGAAAAACAAATTCTTGCTGTGGTTTTCACACCTGATGATGATTGCTTGTGTTGCAGTCGAAACGTCGTGAGAATTTTACGTGACTTTACCGAAAGAACCAAGAATATGAAACAGAGTAACGTTTGCAATTAATTGAACACGAGAGTAGTCGAGTGAATACGAAACGCAGAGGTTGTTGGTTGGTGTAAGTTGAGTGTGACCGTGTGCAGATGTGCGGGCCTTCGTGGGGAGCGGTGGCACAGTGGTTAGTGCACTCTGCTACATAACCCGACGATCCGAGTTCAATTCCCGCTCACGGCCAATAACAGTGGCGAATATATTAATTCTGTTCTGGGTCTCCCCGAGGTCGACTCAGCCTTAAATGAGTACCTCGTGCGGTTGTGTAGACATCAGCACTGGGAAGACAAAGACCGCCGGGCGTGGTGTTGGCCACCCATGCCGGCCTTTCATAGGTGATCTCTATCAGAATCAGAATCTTTATTTAGACTGGAGGAATCCGACGAGCTATGAAGCTCTTTTTCACACATGCCCAATCGGGGCAGGTCAGCACTTTCTGACAGCACTTGTCCCAACAGTCTGTTAATGGCTATATACGGGGGAATTTTGTCTTTGTGTGGACCTTCAAGTGGAAAGCCCAGCTCCCTCCCCCCCTCCCCATGACCATCTGTCTGGTATGTTTGAGGAGTCATAATCTTGAACAGGTGCTGCAGTGTGGTGGGGTGACGGACGAGAGGTGGCAGAGGGCCTGTTGAGTGCCCCACGGCAGGAGTTACCGCCATGGGCCTTCTTGGTCCCTTCGATGAGGATGAAGCAGAGATGCAGATGCTGCTATCAAAGCCACTTTGCCTGCTTGTCCTTGGAAAGCCGGTACCGATGGCCCTCGTCTCTATGTTTAGTCTTAATAGTGGCACGGATCTGACGTGCAGGCACCGTCACTATTAAGTCTCACGTTGTAATATCTGCCATGTGATTAGTTAAAGACACTACCCAAACAAAAAAATTGCTCATATTGGCACCTTCGTACCTAGGCTGTGTCCTAGGATGTCTCACGAGTTTGAATTTTTTTGCATGAAAATTAACTCAGGTGCTCCATCAGTTCAATGTGACTTCATACATTTCAAAATAGCAGTCAGAGGAGTGGCGTCAATAATATGCTACGATCGAGTGCCTGTGATTTAAAAATATTTTTGTTGATAGTCTGTGACAAATAGTCAAAGTACATATGTAATTTCGATTTAAAGCTTTCGTGACTGCAAGGATTCATCTTCTTTGGTTCTTTCGGTAAAGTCACGTAGAATGAGAATAAAATAATAAATTGATCAAATAAAATAACACAATAATATTCTCTACGTGACTTTACCGAAAGAACCAAAGAAGATACATATGTAATATTGAACGTAATAAAGGTTTTTGGGTTATATCACGTAAGTATAAATGTGTCGTAACCCTTCACTACCCGGCACAGCCAATTAGTAAGGGATTTGTCACGCAAATAAAACGTCAATTAGTTACTACTTCAACCCACCGGTGTGTTGGAGAGTAAATCCACAACATTTACAATTTGAGTACACGATGTTTCGCTGGTAATTACATCCAGCATCATCGGGTGAGTTGCCAGAATAGTATTGCAGTTACTCTACGTGTTGTATGGATTGCATAAGAATCACGTGGCTGTGCATGAATGGATAGAATTTGTGGACAAGACAGTTTGAAGGTTAAAGTGACTGCAATTATACAACATATGGCATTCAATTTCATTATAATCCTGCTGGTTCAAATGTTACACGTATAATGTGACCAAAATGTAATGGGATGGCAGCAACAAAAAGATAATGCGTAATTATAGGGAGACCATAGGGAGAATGGAGCTATAGTTTATAGTTTAGCTTGTACAGTGTCCATACCTGTCAACCCATACGATTTACCCGTATTCTTCTACAGGGAAATTGAGTTTACAGGTCCATATGGCGTCCAGCCGTTTCAATACGGGAAAAACATTTTCTTTTTGTTTGTGTTTCTCCCTTGTGATGGGACTTTATGGATGAGCGTTGAGAGTTATAATGGCACGGGCTGACCAATAAAGTCTGAATTGGTCTGTAAAAATGTAGGCACTGATAAGGGGTTGAAAGATGTTAGTGTCAAAATTATTTGTGTTGTGTTACAATAATGAAGCAACAGCGCCATCGCGCGTTCTGTTATGTGCAACATTTTATACCTCTTATTTTGTCCCGCTTGTACTTTCAGAGATTTGACGAAAGTTGCATTGAAAATGATGTACAGCGGCGCTCGTCATGTTAGAGGACGGTTCTGCAGAAGCGGATACCACAAAACGATTTCTGAGATCACTTCAAATGACTTAGAGTCCACACGTTCCCTCCCGTCATGCAGATAAGCCGACATTTAGCCAATTTAGGTGCAGAACCAAATGTAATGTTTTTTTTCTCAGTCAGTTCCCGGCCTGAGACCATCAGCTCACTACACATGAGTTCCCAGTTTAATTACGAGTGCTTGCTCAAATTTTAACCCAAGATTTTGGCTGTGCCAGCTGGACACGCTGACCTCTGAGCCACTCAGCTGACATTAAGTGATTTTAACAATACCGTACTTGCTCTTAACATTACGAATACATGAACTTGAAGTAGCTCAAGGATTCATTCTATGAATTGGGATCAATATCTGTGATATATTTACATTACATTATTTTTGTTGTTGTATCGACGACATAAATACCATTACTTAAACATTATGTTATGGAAGTGTTATTTTGTTCCATTCAGTGCTAAAGAAAGTCCTCCAGTGCTTGCACCAAGTTCCAGTATTATGGAAAAACAGTAACGATTGGGTTGAATCTTTCTTTAAAGAAAAATATAGGTGCAGGCATATTAAGGATGATTTAACTAAAATCACGTGTGTGCACCCAACCAATAGAAGAGCAAACCACTTAAATGTCAGCAGTTATACAATGCTCCCAGAGGCCAGTAGAGGGAACAAGCTTTCTTCTATATAAAAGAAGCTGAATGACAGTCATTTAAAATGTAGCAGTTATCATCACGTGGCTGTCATGTGAGTGGGTATTCTTATTTTGATAAACTTTAGGACCATTTCTTTGGGAAAACTTTTCACGTGATTTTCAGCAGTGTTACGGACAAAGTTAACTGTAATTTGAATAGAAATGGCTTCATTTATATCTGCCATTACACGAATGGCGTGAAAGAAGTTCAACATGCATACAGACAAATGTAGTTCACTATTGTTCTTCCTTAGGAATTGTTATTTTACTTGATGAATGAGTTACAACTATTAATCTTGTATACACCATTTACTAGCATTTGTTTCTCCCACAATCTTAGCGTTGTGTTTATACCCAGTTTTCCTGACAAAAGATTCACTGTATCTCAACAGGCTCACATCTGGTTCTATTTATAGTGCATGACAAAATAGTTTTTTTTTAGTCCTGTGCAATGTGCGCTTGGCATGTCTTGTTAGATTGTGTATGTGTTTGCAAAGTGCACTGAGCATGGCACAAGCGCCGTGGTGACATCACCGCCACCTAGTGATGAACGGCGGTTGTTGTGTTTGCATGCTTTTCATAGGGAGTGGGGAAGGCCACCCTGGCTAGGAGACTGACCAAGGTGTGGAGATGTGTCCTGGTTGAAGGTATTGATGTGTTTTTTTATTGTATCTGACCTTGACGTAATAAGTTCAAATTTAAAATGACCATGGTTAAACAGACCTTGTGTACTTGCTGTCCCATGCAGTTATTTATTAATATTGTATTACAGTATACAAAGTTTAAATTATTTTATGACACCAGACAGTAGCATGAAAGTACGTAACTATTGCATGTAAAACATTTTAAAATGAATGTAGCCATTAATTGTGTGTGAAAATTGGCGATGGCGCTTTATTGCCGTTCGCACCGCTGTATTTTTAAATAATGAATATGGTGCCACCTCGTCGCCATAATTGTATGTCAAATCTTACATTTCCATGAAAATCTCATCTCTGATTCTGTTACACAATCAGCTTCACCCTGAGATCAGAGTATACCAGATTTAAGGATTTGGAATCATAGTAATTCTACATGCAGCCTACTGTATACGTTACTTATAAGTGCAAATATTTATAAATCACACTTGTGGTAATTGATATATTTTGCGATGATGTATTGTGCAACTGTACAGTGATAAAATACATTTTCTGTGCTCATGAATAATATATTTGAAAGTACTTTGCTAATGTGCATGATGTAGTTAATGCATTTTTTTTACGCAATAAAGTTGGTATATTCAACATGTTATGTTGCAGATAACATATGATTGTAACACGGATTTGTATTCACAAGTAAAGGTGAAGTTATTGATTGAGGGAAGGTCAACCTTTCCTTAGCTCTGGCAATTCTGACTCGAGTATCTCTCTTTTCTTAGGTGTGGCTGTAATTCAGCAACATATTGATGCACAAACGGAGACTGGAATCATGGTATTGTTGACGTTACATTTTGCTGTATAAATTGTTAATAGTAAAAATAAATCACTTTCATTTACAGAGCCCAGTAGATATATTAGTGGTGAGTGTACCTATCTCTGAATATATAGTTTTCCCATCCTCATCTGTCATTTCTCTTGGTAATATTCAGAGTGGCCCTCATCATTTATATGACTTCATAAGATCACAGAACATTTTTCCTTTGTGAATGTCATTTTATTTTGTGATCAAATATGTCTTTTTATAATTATCCAATGTTTATTATTTACCAGATGGTAGCTTCGTAATTTAATTGAGCTGAACTGGGAAATTGATCCTGTCGGGCCAAATTTATTTTATAGAGTGCTTTTATTATTTATAATTGTTGATGATCATATAAAGGTGAATTGAGTCAATAAGAAAAAGAAATAAAATATTACTCATGATGCATGAGGTGGCAAGTTGGCACAGTGATAAAACCTGTTGTGTCACAGCAAGAAGGATTTTGGTTCGACTCCCGATTTCGGCGGTTTTATGTGTGGAGCTTCTATGTGCTTGTCCTGTTCTGCATGGATTTCCTCTGGGTTCTCCGGTTCTTTCCATCGCAAAAATAAACATACAATGTAACTGATATTGCCAATACATCTCAATGCTGAGAAGTTATCTGCAAATTGCTCAGTTGCGATTATACACATCAGTAAGATCACCACCTACTGAAAAACTTTGCAGGACCTTCATGAAAAATAGTATTCAAACTCAGTGAGGCTTTCCTATATGAAAAAAATGAAACACTAAATAACAATTATACATTAAATTGCATATTTTAGAATAATTTTCAATGTGTTAAAAAATATATTCGAAATGTATGCGAACATGCCTTAAGAATAATGGAGAGAAGTGGACAATAGAAATACGTGTTTACATGAAAATGTCATAATATTATTAATGGTTCATTGTTATTTGTAAGGGATGTAGTCAAATATATAAGGTATATTTTCCCAGATAAGTGATGACATTATTGCAAACAGACTTTAATGGAATAATCTCTGGAGGGCAATTCAATAATAACAATGCTTGCTTGTAAATAACATTTATGCAAATGAATCATGCTGTTTCACAAAGAGCTGTTAAATAGAACAAACAAGCTTTCGTGGTTAACAAGATGCATACAGATTAATGGAACTGCCCTATGTTCAATAAAACAAATGGGGCATACTCGTAAACAAGCTGTATGCATCTCAATGGAGACACACTACATACAATACATTCAATAAATTCAATAGCCATTCTGCTTAGCAAGTTATATACAGCTCTGTGGAGCTAGTCGCAATGCACGTGCCCAGTAGCTCATTCAGAGCACCATGCTTGACTCGATACCCGATGGGCGGTTGTTGTGGGGCATTTGTCGGTGGTTAAAGCTGCAGGAACGGCTGGTGAAGGGGGAGGTCATCTCGGAGGAGACGGTCACCCGCCTGCTGCTGGAGAAGTTGGCCTCTCCACAGGTGGCTCACTATGGTGAGGCCCTCCCTCAATTCGCCCTTCTTTATCTGCCTTCTTTCTAAAATGTCATCACTCGCTCACACTTCATCTCTCCACTCCTTTGAGTGAAGTGTCAAGCATCAAATTATTACAATTTCATTTAATTCTAAGTAACGTGTCTCTGCTGGTTGCAGGGGTCAGTTTCCAGATTTCCAACAGTGTGTTAATGGAGTTATTTGAAACACAGGCATTTAGTTAAACCTATTCTCATTTAGATAGAACTTGGTGTTTCCAATCAATAGCACGCACTACACCACCTGAATATCTGACCTGGACTTAGTGTGTACCCTTGATCTCACTTAATACCCTGTAGATGAAATTGTAACCAATTTTATATTGCATTAATTAAGATTTGGTAAATTACGTGATAATGGTATTACAATATTTTTATAATAATATCAGGCTCAATTTTATAATAACATCAGACAATATGTTTTGTTCCATGTAACTGTTTAATGGCATAATGTGGCTATACGATATAGTGCCTACTTAAAATTTGCGGCACATGTAGACTTAATTACACACCACAATTTACTTATGTTGTAATTATTCATTTTTGTCTAGACTGTGTTGTAATTCTGTCGCTGTCAAAATTATTGTCATCATTGTGGTCTGAAAAACGTGTTTTTGTCTGCAGGATATGTGCTTTGTGGTTTTCCATCTCTTAGCGAAGAAAACCTCACAATTCCTCAGCAAATAGAGCTGATCAAAAGTTGGAGCTTGAAGCCTGATGTTATTATAAATATTAAGGTAAAATACACTTGTGGTCTTTGATCGAGAGTGAAAGGACGGTTGATTTTTGCCAAGAAATATCCTCAGAAGCACTAACCTACTTTAACATAATTGTGTTAATGCTCTTGAAAAAGTATTTTGGCAGATGAACACTCGGTTTAAATATGTAGTTTTTGTTTTCATTTCATGGCCACGATTGCAAAAACTAACAAAACTTTGTATATATACTTTATTAGTACCACATGTTAACTATGGCAAGGGATGCAAAGTGATCCCATTTTTTTAAAGGGCTGCAGCAATACTCTTTGGTTCTATTCGGTAAAGTCACGTAGGTAAAAAAAACAAATTAAAAAATAAAAGAAACAATTAAAACACGACGTTTCGGAGGCAACGCAAGCTTCCGTCTTCAGGTGGGACCAGTGATTTTGACTGTGACTGGTCCCACCTGAAGACGGAAGCTTGCGTTGCCTCCGAAACGTCGTGTTTTAATTGTTTCTTTTATTTTTTTATTTGTTTTTTACCTACGTGACTTTACCGAATAGAATCAAAGAGTATGAATTCTTGCAGTCACGAAAGCTTCAAATCTAGAATTAAAGGCTGCAGAAATGTTTATATCAATGACTTTGCATGAATAAATGCATGATCCGAATGCATGATGAACATCCGTAAATTATATTTACTTGTAGAATTGTTGGGAGATCCAGTTTGATGCTGTGCCGTTTCAAGATATGTGCATACATCCTTAGATTTGAGGCTTGACCAATGATCATTACGCTGCAGTGTCCCAATGACGACCTGCACAAGCGGCGGACGCGGCAGCGCCAGGACCCACTCACGGGGCAGGTGTACGTGCTGGATGAACTGGGCCGGGAGGCAGCACGCGACGGCAAGAATCCACAGGCGGACAATGCCACCGAGCGAGAGGAGGAGGGCGAGGAGATGGAAGAGAAAGAGGCAAGACTGATTCGTCCTCTAACAGTGGCATTTAACCGTGTGCAAAAACACCTCTAACGTTAAACATCACTCGAGGACTATGTGCACAGCAGTCTCCTCTGATGGGCTCAACTGTGACAGCATACTTTAATTAAAAAAATATTTCAGCTGGTTTTATACTATTGAAAGATTGAATCACGTGCGCATGATATTGTCGTACGTTTATGATTTGTGCATGCGGGCTGTGATGTATGGTATGGTGACGTGTTTCGGTTACGTGATGGCAGGAAGAGGCAGAGGCTGGGCTGGATAAGGGGCTACTATCCCGGCTTGTGCGGAGACCGGGTGACTCTCCAGATGACGTCATGCGTGTCATTACGCTCTACAACGACACTCTATTGCGTCCACTGGAGGTACTCACACCTGTCAGTACACACATAATAAGATTGTTGGTTTTGATATCCAGTGAGACAATTTGGTTACCTGGCCTTAGCTTGCCACTGATGCATTGTTTTTTGCAGTTACACATCCGGAGGTCAGTTTATTATGAAACGTATGAGCTTCGATTATTATGTACTTGAGTTTGTTGTGTTGTCAAACTTGAGAATGTTGTTGATATTGTTCCACTGCTCCATATAACCACAGTATTGCTTTTTCGTTTGTAGGATTTAATGGCAGATCATGACCCACGTTACTTGATTGAGCTGGATGGCAATGAAAGCCCAAATGCACTCTTGGATGTGAGTTTTTTAATAATTTTCCACGTACTATTCTTCTGAAACTCTTTTTACGAAAGGGCAGATGCCCTTGTCACACAAAGTCATATTAAGAGTACTCTGAGTTTTGATGCAGGACAGCATATCAGGCACATGCACATCCCCTGCTACCCTTAATTCCTTTATATGGTTTCTGCATCGCCCAGCCATGGTGGATGTGGCTCACTTGGATCTTTGTCCAGTGCTCAACCGCGCAATCTTAGCGAGCAGTTTGAAACCTTTGGGTCTTAGACATCAAAAGGTTTCAGCGAATATAAAGAAACTTTCCACCATCATACGCAAACTTGTCATTCATGCTTTAGTGTGTACCTTGTATGGAAAGTACTGAGGGCATCGTGGTCACCATCATTATTGTCTCCATCTTTATACGATCATCATCAATATTATCATTACGGTATTGTCATCAACCATTACAAAATAATTTATACCACCATAATCTTTATCTTCATCTACATCATTGTTTTAAGTGGTTAAGCCTGCTTTGTCTTCGAGCTACAAATCAGCACCTTGGCGAATATTGGAGCAACACTGGCACAACGAGCCTGACTGATTTAAGTGCAGAAGGACCTTCGCCTGAAACTTTACCCATTATAAATGTTTCCTTTTAAGGCAGTGTTTTGGATGGAGTGCTGCGGTTTTTTTTTTCTATTGGTGGTTAGCTCGGTCCGTCTGAGAGTGCTGAAAACAAAACGCATAATTAACATTTTTGTTGACACTCCCCAGCCACTGATTGGCTTCTAGTTTTTTTGTGGAATGGACCTCCACCCATTCTGCAGGTTGAATTGGGCCAAAAACTATTGTATGAATTTGGCAAAATTACTTTTTCATAATTTCCAACTGTCAATAGACAGCTGCTTGTGTGGTGGGGACAATGTCATGACATATCATTTTAAATGTTCTTACAACATGAACAGTTGGTTGCAAATGATCCAATACATGCAATGATATATATATATTTTATTCTGTCCTACTTAAGTAGTGGGTTATTGTGAGTCTCACTTACCCGGGTGCACTGCTGATACCTGTACCTCAGTGAGCCCTCCCCACAGCTGGACTCTTAGGCATGGCATTGTGTTTAGCACCCCCAATTAGCACGGTTGGCTACGTACGGTGCGAAAGAAGTTCAACATACATACATACATTGCCAGTGTATTTAATCGGCAGGGGGTGCTTGCACGGCTGAAGATGCTGGGCCTGCAGGAAGCCGCCGTGCCTGTGCACCTCCAGGGAGAGGACGACCTGCCAAGTGACCTGGACCCGGTGAGTTTTACTTTAAAACGTCGACTGCATGATTGTTTAATTCTATTTTTTTTATCATTTATAAGTCAAGGGTCAATTTGCTAACCATTATTATGTTTTGATTTAAAGCGTTCGTGACTGCAGTAATTCATATTCTTAGTTTTTTCGGTAAAGTCACGTTGAAGAGAAACAACAAAATAACAAAATATATATAAAACAATAAAAAATTCTCACGACGTTTCGACCATAACTCAAACGGTCATCATCAGGTGTGTCGGTTTGCATAAATTTATTTTGAAAACGGCATATTTATTTATATATATAAAATAACGTTTGCGTCACGCGCAACGATGGCAGTTTGCCAGGACTAGTCCATCTATTTTTTGAAAAGAGGAGGGGGGAGACGAAATTTGTTTTTATGTATGCTGTCTGAAAGGCACTGTAAGCGTGAACAATCAATCAAGAACTGAAATGATTTATCAAATCTTTCCAATGATTGCTAAGATAGAATCCATCTTCTCGGTTGAAATTGTCTCTGTGTTTGTATATGTGGATAGCCTCATGAACGAATCTCTCATGGAAGCCAGATGGCTTACAAAGAACCTCTGTCTTGGAAAAGTCAATGGCATGTGAGCCTACTGAATTAGAACAATGATCTGCTACGGCCGAGGTGTTGGTCCTACCGTGTTTAAGGTCTGCTTTATGTTCACGAATGCGGTCCGAGATATGGCGTTTGGTTTCTCCAATGTAACTACTACCACAGAGGCAACTTAGTTTGTAGACACCAGGGTATTGTATGTCCGGAATCACATCTTTTACAGACGGAACCAGATCACGGATTTTATGTAATGTGTTGAAACGGACCTGGATCTTGTGTTTATTCAAGATTTTGGAGATCTTTTTTGTGATCCCAGCAATGTAGGGTAAAGTGATGGTTTTGAAAGGCTCCTCAAGAGGGTTCTTCTTCATGGTTTGAGTGATAGCTTTGCGGATTGTATAGTCGGAGTAACCATTAGCCCTAAGAGCTTGGTGTACGTGGAGAAACCAAACGCCATATCTCGGACCGCATTCGTGAACATAAAGCAGACCTTAAACACGGTAGGACCAACACCTCGGCCGTAGCAGATCATTGTTCTAATTCAGTAGGCTCACATGCCATTGACTTTTCCAAGACAGAGGTTCTTTGTAAGCCATCTGGCTTCCATGAGAGATTCGTTCATGAGGCTATCCACATATACAAACACAGAGACAATTTCAACCGAGAAGATGGATTCTATCTTAGCAATCATTGGAAAGATTTGATAAATCATTTCAGTTCTTGATTGATTGTTCACGCTTACAGTGCCTTTCAGACAGCATACATAAAAACAAATTTCGTCTCCCCCCTCCTCTTTTCAAAAAATAGATGGACTAGTCCTGGCAAACTGCCATCGTTGCGCGTGACGCAAACGTTATTTTTATATATATAAATAAATATGCCGTTTTCAAAATAAATTTATGCAAACCGACACACCTGATGATGACCGTTTGAGTTATGGTCGAAACGTCGTGAGAATTTTTTATTGTTTTATATATATTTTGTTATTTTGTTGTTTCTCTTCAACGTGACTTTACCGAAAAAACTAAGAACATTATTATGTTCTTTAAAAATAATTTTAGATAGAAAACACTTACTTGACTTTGTGAATTAAAATTTTACATACATTTTTAATCATTCACATGTCATCATGAAATACATAATTGTACATCTGCGTTGGATATAAACATTCAGACTGGCCTGCCTACCATCCATCCTGGGTTTAACCAGGCTGGATTGTGTGAGGTGCTCATAAATCCTTGAAAGATCTGGACACATTCCTATCAGTGAGCTCCTCCAGCAGGCAAGGCTGCCATGGCTGGGTCATGTAGACCGCATACCCAGCCACCGCATGCCCAAAAGCTTCTGTTTGGCCGGATAGAGGGGGCTAAACAGGCATGACACAGGCTGCAAAAGAGATGGACTGATACGGTACAGGAGGATGTGGAGCTGAGTGGACTGGCCGAAGACTGGTACCAGTGCTGTCAAGTTTGGCTTCTATGGAGAAGGCTCATGAAGGATGCTACTGGGCAGTTGGAGGCAGTCACCCTCCAACAGCAACGGATGGCAGAGGAGCGATGCTCACAACAACTTGCGGCTAAAATGCAGCAAGTTGGTACAATAGGGGGCACAGCTGGTGCATCTGCTAGTCATCTGCTAGTCATCTCAGTCAGACTTCCTGTTAGCGAGCCCTCGACACTTCACGTGGCCTCAAAGTGTATCTGGCCTGGCACAAGCGCCGTTGTTGTATATGTGCGTGCTTGGTTCAGTCAGTATGTATGCGTGGATCATGATTGGGTGCTGTGGATTGATTGCACACGTCTCAATAGGATGAAGTTCTGCGTGCCGTGTCAGGCTGGCAGCGGCCCGGGGCTCGGCACCGCTGGCGACGGAGCCGCTGGGGTGCTGTGTGCCCGGTGGCGCTGCAGCAGGGGAGTCTGAAAATCGGCAAGGCTGAGTTCGCTATCAGGTGCCTTGTGATGAGGATGGTGTGGGAGGGGTGTTGTGATGAAAATGATGAGTCAACTAGTATAATGAATGCTTTGGTCGCTGGTTGGCATTTACATTCATTCGTGAGCAGGCGTTCTCGATGTTTGTATTTAGGGACAGATTAAAGGTCAGTATGCTCAGGTTAGGGACCTTTACAGAATAATAAAAGCAGAGTCTGGTGGACAAGGTATACTTAACATATGACTGAATTTGTAGGGATGGGGTAAAATGTATACATCATTCATATAGAGAAACATCTTCTTTGGTTCTTTCGGTAAAGTCACGTAGAATGAGAATAAAATAATAAATTGATCAAATAAAATAACACAATAATATAATAAAATAATAAATTGATAAAATAAAATAACAATAATATTATTGTGTTATTTTATTTTATCAATTTATTATTTTATTCTCATTCTACGTGACTTTACCGAAAGAACCAAAGAAGATGAATCATTGCAGTCACGAAAGCTTTAAATCGAAATAGAGAAACATGTCAACCACTATAACTGCTGTTAACATATTGTGGTTTAGTAGCACAGTTGCCCCATGATAAAGTGTGTTTCAGTAGCAACTTGTTTACAAACACAACACTACCTTTTCCATGCGAGTCATGCTCAATGTCCGGGACTACACAGTTGTGGCTTATTCTTGGATTAAAGCTGTTATGGGTTAAAAAAAAACAACTACTTTTAAGAAAGATCTCTGATCAATTTTCTTTGACCTATTTATGGATGCGTTTGACCACTCTTATTTTTGCTAAACAGAAAAAGTTAACGACAGATATGTATTTGATTAATTCATTTGATATTGCTTTGAGCATACGTTAATTCTCCTACATTACTTGTGCGCACGTCTTTCAGTTTTCTCGACAAGATGTACCTGCTGTCATCTGAGGAAGCTCAGGCGAAATTCTGTGCCAACCCACGAAGCTATCTGATGGCCCCACAGCCAAAGCCACCGTGTCATGTGGTGGTGATGGGACCAAGCACTGCTGGAAAAACCACGCTGTGTCACCTGCTGGCAGACCACTACGGAGCTCGGGTACTGTGTAGGATCGCTCCGACTATTTAATCCCTCCTATTAAGTGACCTGATATTTTATTCCCTTAATAGAACAGCAGCCAGGAACATACGATTTATATACAAAAAAAAATCAGGCTAGACTTGGCACTTTCTCTTCACGTATCATTTCAGTATGGTGTGTTTTAATCAAACTAAATCACACAAAACACGGAGCGGTTTATGTCCGCTTCCTTGCAATTATTCTTTCTGTTTAATCTTTGCATCCTGATATTTTTTTTTTCAAACACCTCTTTTGAATTAAGAAAACTTGGCGCAACTGTCTTGAATTATAGTCTACTTTTTTCGTGAAAATGAAGTGGTTTTTTTGTTACTACCCTGGCTCTAACAAGAAACACAGCATCGGTGCCAACCAGCCCACGGGTCCACTGGAGTTTGTTGTGTAGATGTGTTTGTATACAGCTCGTATGCGTGAACCATGTGGATGCTGATTTGGTGGCATAAATGTGTTGGTAAAACGTCGGGGGTGCTCGCTTGCGCATCGTGCAGGTGGTTAACGTGGCAGAGCTAGTGCGGCCAGTAATCGAGGAGGAGAAGCAACGTTCGGTGGAGTTGGCACGGGCAGAGGCGCTGGCTGTTGCGCTGGAAACAGTACGGAGTCGGAAGCAACAGGAGCAGCTAGAGAGGATGCAGGGTAAGTGAGGGCTCATGTTTAGTGAGGGTGGGAGGTGAGTGATATTCGGTGTTGCAAGAAATCACAAAATGAGGATGAACCACCGAGAAGTAAGCCCAAGGGAAATCCCAAATATCAACAGTTTACTTGATGCCATACCGTCTTGTTAGATTTAAACTGCTATAGTTTGATCATGCAAACTTGTGCCCTGTGCAGTAACAATACAGTATGGACAAGGTACGTTTTTAATCTGGTTTTAGTAAAAATGTTTGAAATATTGCAGTATACATAGCAAGTGCAAAGATGGAGGGACCTTGTTGTGGCTGTTGTGCTGAAACATTGTACAATCAGTACTCTACGCCTGCAATTGTATCTCAGCGCTCGCAGAAAAAGCTGAGCCGGAATACGAGGTGGCTAAAGAGGGGCAGGCAGCAACAGAGGAGGAGGAGCACAAGCCTGGCGTAACAGCCAAAGCGACAGAAGAAATGGAAATCTCTGGTGACGAAGTCGAGGAGGATTTCGTGGTCGCTGAGCCTGGAGACTCAGGTCAGACAGAGGCTGACGAGAGAGAGGCTGGAGTGCTCGGTGAGGGTGTGGGAATGGGCAGTGAGTTGGAGGGTGGCGAGGAGGAGGAGGGTGGCGAGGAGGAGGCTGGTGACGAGGAGGGTGACGTGACGGCCGAGCACCCCGAGGTGCGAGCACTTGTGACGGAGGCGGTTCTCCAAGCGGAGCAGGCTGCTATGGGACTGCCTGCTGAGACCTACGTGAACGTGCTGGTGAAGGCTCTGTCCGATGTGCGTACGCATCGCCATCAAAATCATGCAATTCACAAACATGATAGTCCAACGGTGTTACGGATGAATTTGTTCACGTGAATATTTGAATGAAACATTACTCTCATTATTGAGGAGTACATAAATGTATGTTTGTAACGCTCTAGCACACACAAGAGAGCATCAGTGGCCTTTGCATTCTCTGTGAGTATATTATAAAATGACCAGTGTAACTGTACGCAATGTGAATGAATCATACTCTCAAGAGCATGCACTGAGAACAGTTCTCTCACATTGTATCGTCCGTTACATATTTTATTCATCGCCCAAACCAGTTGCTGGTGTGTAATGGGGAACAGTTGAACTTTTACTGCACAAGTATTTCAAAGACCTATTGAATAGACCCTCTTCTGAAATATACAAAGTGGTACAAATGACATTCATTGCCTATTTAATCTAGATTTACAACAAGCAGCTGTCTGAACTTAGCTGAGTTGTACTCACTATATCAATGTTGTGAGAGGTGTGGTTGCACTGATAGGCAATGCCAAAGCGTATTCAGCTCAACCGCAATGCAGTAAAATCAACGACAATGTAACATAACACAACAACAGTTTCATGGTTGGGTGTAATATTTCAAGTTCATTATATTAGGGCCACCTATAGCAATATTACGACATGAAATAACACCAAATCAGGAGACGCAAACAAGTTGTTTTGTAAAAAATAAATAAACCCATGTGCGGTTTAGATGCGCAGGGAGACGGATGATGTGGAGGGTGCGGGAGTGGCAGCACAGGGCTGGGTGCTCGATGACTTCCCTGCTGACCAGGAGCTCTGGGCCACGCTGCTGGCAAAGGGGCTGTGCCCGGACGAAGTCTTCTGCCTCGTGGACCCCAGTACAAAAAGCAAGTCAAGATTTTAAAACACACCCCCCACTTGACAACGTTTTTAAACATAAATTAAGTCATGTGTATGGCTGTAGTGGCAAGAAGGGTCCTGTTCTCTAAGCACAGGGGATTTTCTTTCTTTGGCACCCACAATAGACTGAAATAAGACCACAACCGTGCCCCGTGTTTATCACCGGTCTTGCAACGAGGCCACATAACAGAATAGCACAGGGATGTTCTGTTTTTTATCCTTAGTTTTTCTTGGCGAGCGCTCATTTGGGTGTCGCCCCTGAAAATAAGTAAGTTTGTACTGTTCTCTGCTGACCATGATCCCCTGTGCCCTCTGTGGGTGCAGGTGAGTTGCTGCTTTCCAGGATGTACTCTAAGCACAAAGAGGAGGTGGATGCCAAGAGGAAGCAGAGGAGGGTGCAGCAGCTAGAGCAGGAGAGACAAGAAGCCAATGCAAGGCGGTGAGCCTGAGTGTGGAACACTTGCATGCAATCGTACTGGTAACGAGTGAGCACATACATGGACCTGTACGCTTGCTCACACTTGCACTTGCAGATTAGGGAGATCTGTGACGCAAGATTTCATAACCATGCCTGTATGTAGACGATTGAATACACACACCTCCGATGAGCACGGTTGACTACGTACAGTGCAAAAGAAGTTCAACCTATATTCAAATGCACAAAACTAATTCGCCCAGAATTTCAATTACCATGTCTTATGTACACCCTTAAACAAATCTTATATATTTTTGAATGTATGCCAACAAACAGAGACACGATGATATTTCAACCTTTTGAATGTCTCGAGCAGTGCAGTTGTGCTTGGGCCAAACTAAACGTTAGATGCATGACACCTCTATATCAAGATATGACCTTGAACATAATGAGAGCCTGAGATGAAAATGATCATTTATCACCATTTTTATGACTGAAAAACGATCTCATAACCACACACACACAACAATGAGCAGCCCTGTATAATAATAATACACGACAATACTCGATACTCTGGAAGCTCCGTTGACCTTTCTCGATAACATATGTTTCTAACTACGTGCGGGAGCTGACCTCATGACCTGTGCATTGCTGTAACCATTTGAAGGCAAGCAGAGTTGGAAGCTCTAAGGGAACAGCAGAAAGAGAAGTTGGAGCAGCCTGAGGATATCCACGACAACGGCAGAGGTAGCTACTCGGTGCTGTGTAACCTTTAAGTGTGATTTGCTGCTTATAATTAGAAAGAAGGTCCACTTAGTGAAATATCAGAGACTCAGAGGTTTTGGTAAAGAAGAGATCACCCTGACATTTTTATACGATGTTAACATTGTCTGAAATTTTTGTTAACTTTTGTGGTTTTTTTTATCTCAAATACGTGTGCAAGTTTTATTTATATTTCCATGCTATTCCTTTAAACATAAATAGCTACGTTCCGACATATATTTCATGTTGGCATGCTGATGAGAAAAAAAACCTGAAATATGTTTGCAGAAGCAAATGCTGACAAGAGCGGTGTTATTGAAACAATTTTGGAAGAACCGCTGGAGAGTAGTACTGACCTGATCATGGAGGCTGAGCAAGGTATGACTGGAACAAAGCATTATTATGTAGTCCCAACATTCTACTCCAGGTACTGTGCTCGATTACCCACGAGGCCCTCACTGAGTCTCATGACCTTTTGCAGGATGATTCTGCCAGGTCTTGGCAAATTTAAGATCAATGATTGCTGTGTATATTTCAATTCAGTAACTCAGGAGTTTATTATCCGAGTAAATTACCCATTGAGCTATGCAGATCTTTTTTCAAAGGTAACTCACCCTCTGTAGTCGCCACTGCAGAGGGTGATAATTTTGGATGGAAATTTCAAGCTCACACATGCAAGACAAAGACCCCCCCCCCCCCCATACAGCCTGCACAAACTGCTGGGGCAAGTGCTATTAACCAGCAGCTATGAAGGCCGGCACGGTACACGAGGGGATGGGTGGCCAGCACCACGCCCGACCGCCTTTGTCTCCCCAGTGGCGATGTTTACACACCACACCAGGTACTCATCTGAGGCTGAGTCGACCTAGGGGAAGCCCAGGACCGGTTAAAATATTCGTCACTGTTATTGGTTGTGAGCGGGAATCTAACTCGGGTCGCTGGGTTCGTAGCTCAGTGCGCTAACCGCTGCGCCACCGTTCCCCACTGCACCACCACACATGCACACACATATGTACATACTTATGCCCTTATCCCCACTTCACATGCTGTTGCTACTTTTGACAGATGCTGCCCTGGAGGATGTCCCTGAGGGCGGGTTCCCGGCGGGACCAGAGATGGAGCGGTATTACGAGGAGGTGGTGACTTTCAAATCCGCATGGCAGCACTGCTCGGCCATCATTGCTTCAAAGACTTCCTTGCAGCCACTCGTGATAAACATCACCGAGAAGGCTCCCCGAGAGATTCTGAAGCAAGCGACCACCAACATGGAGCGTGCGTGCAACGAGGAATGGAAGGGGGTGGCAGTGGTGTTGTTAGACGGAGCAGCTGTGAGGGCAGGCTCAATTTAGTAATTTTAGAGGGGGTGGCTGATGCAATTCTAAATTCAGCTGCGTGGTGGTAAATCAGCCTGCAAGTGCTATGGGGGCAGATTCAATTAGCTCATTGAGGAAGCAAAGGGGTTGTTTATTTGTTTTAAATCTATTTCTGATGGACAAATCCAGCTCATTTATAGACATGTCCAGCTCTCACAAGGAATCATGTCATGCATTATTATGGAGTAATGGTCCAAAGGAGTTTGTTGGATTTCCTGTAATTAAAAATTTGGCTCTCAACTCTTAGGTCTTGATGACATAGAAGAGTGTCTCCAAATACCAGTCCTTATGCTTTCCTGTTGGTCTTAGTTTTTCCTGTTTATAAACGCACTGTATAATTTATTAAGTATAATGATTAACTCGCATGTATATATGAATCAGCAAAAATCACAATCGTGAGCACACAGATTAGGGTTTAAGATCTTCGAACCTATTGTAATGACATTGGGGGATGGTATTAAATAGGTGTTTCAGAATAAAATGAAAAAAAGAAAGTATTTCTAAATTTCACTAGTTATGATCTTCAGCAATTATAGCAGTTGCTGGCTTATTGGTATAGAACAATAACCATAAGGAAACATTTTGCAGGGAGGAACATTTTGCCCCATGGTGATAATGCTGATTCAACACTGCATTCATAATAATGTTGCTTTGCCAAGGCAGCTGCCAAAGCTTTGTTGTATTTGCAGGGCTGCTTTGGTACCGTGCGACAGAAGTAACAGGGGTGGACCTGGATGAGGATGAGGAGGATGCTCGAGCAGAAATGGAGGAGGTTGAAGCAGAAGGTGAAGAGGAGGGAAAGGAAGAGGAGGAGGAGGTGCGTAATCAGAGGGTTGTGTGATGTTGTGGTCTTTAAGGTGCGACAATCACACGAGAGATGTGGTGGTCTGTGGAAGGTAGGATGAATTCACAATCGGATGTAGTGGTCTTTCCATGGTGTATTCAGTTCAGTTTCATTTATTAGGTATAGCCCTATGAGCCATGCAGCTTTTGACTCGGGTGCGACCGCAACAAACAGAAACATGAACAAACCACATCTTAAAGTGACAACACGCAACAGAAACATCCAGGAAAAACCATGGTGGTCTCACCGTGGGATCTGTAGTAATCTCTCATTGTGGTGTGCTGGCTTTACATTTTCATTATGATAGGCTAACATTTGTACGAACCACATAGCTCGCAGCCATCACTGTGCATCAACACATTTATTTGCTTTTCAACCATTCTGTTCACACAACTTTTTCAAATTCTTAAAATGTTTAAATTGTGAGGGGTAATTTATGGTAATATGACATTTAAAAAAAATAGATTGTGAATTGTCAAGAGTTCATCTCACCAGTATGGTGGACCATACTTAAATATTTATCTCACTTGAGATGAAATCAATGGAATGTAATTCCATTAGCCACAGTGTTGTGCCGTACTCATGTTCCCTTGCTTCAGGAGGAGCAGGACGACGACAAGCATAAATCTAAAAGGCAGCTGGGTGACAGCAGCCATTTCTGCCCCGTGGCACTCAAGCAGAGGTTTGTTCTGGCACCGGGAAACCCAGAGGTGGCTGCCAAATACCGCGAACGTGTTTACTACTTTACGAGCCCGGAGGCTCGCACTCAGTTCTGCGAAAGCCCGAAGGAGTTTGTCGCTCACATGGAGCCTCTGCAGGTAAGAGTTGCTTATTTACCAATTTATTATATTTATACGAAAATGATTCTCCAGGATGTTTGGCCAGAGGTAGAGAAACATAGTTTGCAGTGTGCTTGCCGCTGGATGACTTTTATTCAGACAAATCAAAGTTTACAATGTCCTCATTAGTTTAAAAACAAACATTTGTAATATATTACATTTTAATTCGAATTAGTAATGTTTATTTGCTATTCGGATTCTCATAATTGATGGTGACAGTAAACAAGAAAATAATTAGTGCAAGGAAAAGAAGAAGCGGATTTCTTAGAGGCTGAATGAGTTAGTGTAATAATTTCTGAGTGACTGAAAAGCTTCGAAAGGATGTTATAAAAGCCGTCAGTGTTGTGTACGGTATGGCCATATTTATGAAACTGGCCACCCATTGAGGTAAAAAGGCTTGGACCTCTTGTGTTGGCTCAGGGCCAGCTTGTTCATCAGCAAAACCTACGAATGCCAGGGACTACATAGCTGCGAGGTCCCTGGTGATGTCTATAAATTGATCAATTTGTTATTTCCTATACCACTTTTGAACTGTTATAATCATTAGGATTAGGGTTAGTACAATGGCTAGGCTTGTTAACATGAAACCTGATTCCTTCCATAAGATCATTTTTAACACCATATGTGCTTTTTTTTTAGGGACCTGCAAACCGAAAGACTTTGCCAGCTTTTTTCAGAATTATCCCAGGAGTTTATAGAGGAATTCACGGTTATACTGTGCATTAACTGACTGCACAGTTTCACCATTTACTCTTTATTTGCACTGCAATTCCACTCGACTTTGCCCCGTGTTTTTGTAACCACGTTCTCCCTCAGGCTCCTCCACTCCGCATTGTCATGCTGGGGCCTCGGGGTGCTGGAAAGAGCATGTGCGCACGCTGGCTGGCCGAGAAGCTGGAGATCTTCCACATCCAGTTCCGGGAAAGGCTGCGGGAGCTGGTGACAACAAAGGGCAAGCAAGCTGTGCCACAAGAACCCAGTTCTGACAAAAAGCCACCAGAGGACAACCAACCTCAACGGGTATGCTCACACTTGTATACGCACATGTATGTATGTATGTTGAACTTCTTTCGCACCATACGTAGCCAACCGTGCTAATCAGAGGTGCAGGCTAAGGACAACAAACTGTATCTGCATGGTGAAATTTCACCATATACAGTAAAACCTTGGATTGCGAGTAACTTAGTCTGTGAGTGTTTTGCAAGACGAGCTAAATTTTTAAATAAATATTCATTTGATAAACGAGCGAGGTCTTGCAATACGAGCAGTACGTATACGCTTTGTCTGCCGAGCGTCACGTGATCACAACTGATATACGAGTGCTTTGATATACGAGTGCTTTGGATTACAAACACGTTTCCGGAACGAATTATGCTCGCAATCCAAGGTTTTACTGTATATGGATTAAAAGTATACAAAATTGGGGAGGGGTGTATATGGAGTTAATTAAAACTATCAAGCCTCAACAGATTTCCACTGGTTTGTAATTGCATACATTGGACATTGAAACTAATATATTAACAATTAACATGGGTTAAAAATCCAAACCAAACATGAAACATTTAGAAACATTGCATATCAACTATTGCAAATGTGTATCGTGCTATATTCTGTTATAAGCATCAATCTACCTATATTATGCAGCAAGTCGGGTAAACTAATTTTTTTTTATGAACTACAGTACATTGAAATGCAGTGCCTATTAAATGGTTAGTTAAACTATTTGTCCTTTGTAAACGTGACACATTTTTTACTGTTTGGCCGTGTCGGGTGGTGGAGGGTTACGACACATTTATAAATAACGCGATCTAACCCCAAAACCTTTATAATGAATAATATTGGTCGCGAAAGCCTACGTGTTAAACTAAACTGTGATGTTGGACGCTTGTTTAACTTCATGATATCAATTCTCGGGACTCGAGAGGCATAGGAAGTGCACCACTGCCTTGCAGCAGTGGTTTTGGGCCCGCAATCTCTCCTTGATTGCTTCCAAATTCGAGGCAGTCATGATCAGCACCAGAAAGCAACTCACCATGTTCATGTTGCCTTCTAGCATATTAACAGTTAGGCTCCACTATCCATGTATCTGACCACATCAAGTGCCTCGATGTTCCTCTCGACTCAACATTAACCTTTGACAGCTCCACCAACCACATCATCATATCTTGCAACTACCATCTCACAGCCTTCCGTCAATGACGTCCACTCATCACCACTGAAGTCGCCAATACCTTTGCCTGCTGGATAGTTGGATCTCACCTCACTTATTGCAACTCCATCCTTGTTCGATCTTCACCCAGTCACCTTAAAATAAACTCCCCATGTTTGCAAAACAATCTCATCCACGTCATCCCTGATGCCTGTCAGCCTCTGCTAGATTTACTCACCTCCTTCCACTCCCTCCACTGGCGTCCCATCACCAGCAGGGTCAGAATTGATATGGGCCTGCCTCTGCCACCGTGGTGCCTCTGCTTTTGGTTGTTCACCATGTCTTTATTCGCTCCTATCCCACTGCACTACAGCTCATGGTAGAGCTCTCCTCTTTATACCAGGAACAAGGACTGTCACTGTTACGCGTCGTTTCTCCATGGCAGCCCCCTCCATCTGGAACGCCATCCCGCAGCACATTCGCAGCATTCAATCTACACCTACTTGTAAGGAACACTTAAAGTTCCACCTCTCTCGCCCGGCTTTTGAGTGACACCAAGCTTGACTCCGTGCCTCAGATTCATTGTCATTTATGTATATGAAAATATTGTGCATAATATAAATTGCATTATTATGAGTTCGAATAGTAAATGGATATACTTTATAGTGAGGAGCTGTAAACACGTGGCTTCTCTGAATAATGTGTTGTTTCCATGTGAGAGTAGCAGCAAGAGGTGGAGGGCGGCTGGCAGAAGCATGCGGAGGCCGTGGAGGCTTACCTCTCAGACAGCGAGCCACTGCCAGCACAACTGCTCGATAAACTTTTCCTTTCCTGGTGGAACGAGGAGCCCTTCAGGTGCAAAATCATTCTTGCTGAAATGTGCTGAATGGTCCAAAGTTGTTTATGGATGATAATTGCCTCTAACACCAGGCAAACAAGCAGCATTTGTTTATAGGGGCTATACCTTGCTTACGAGACTCAGAGATATAGAAATTAAAAGAAGTTGAAATGTTAACAGAGCGTTACAGCTCTCGTGACATCTGTAATGGACATCCCAGGATACAGCCTAGTACATATCATTGGCATCAGAACATTCGTCTTCTGGGTTGCATCTAAACATATGCCAATTGAAACATTCGTCTCGAAGGTTAATTGGTTGATGCCTTCAATGTTACTTGTGAATTGTTTGCAATGAAAGAGGGCATTTCCATTTATTAATTATTTTGATTAGAATAACCGTAGGCGATACAGAAATGTAATTAAGTGGGACATCTGTGTACTCGTAGAAGGCAGTACAGTACAGTATGCAGGAATCTCATTAATTCTAACAATTATTTTACGATTGACTAGGCATTCCATATTCAGTGTCCACTTGCAACAGTTGACCAGAGTCGTGGCAGTGTGTGTGGCGCTGACCGCTTTTCCCGTCCCTCCGTTTTGCACAGGTCACGAGGGTTTATTCTGGAGGGCTTCCCCAGCACCCCAGATGAAGTGCAGTACCTGGCTGAGAGGGCACTGTTCCCAGAGGTGGCTGTGCTCCTCAATGTCATGGAGGGAGATGTCATCAAGCGGCTGTTGCCTCCACAGCTCGACAAGTGGAGACTTGAGAATAATCGCAAGTTGGAGGAGCTCGCAAAAAAGAAGGCTCTCAACAAGCAGCTGCAGGTGTGTGCACCGAGTGCGGCAGCCATTCTTTATTGCACACATAATTTACCTGCGGTTTACAAGGGGTATATGTTTAAAACCTATGTAATTATGAGTAAAATTGAGTGACGTAGTAGATATGAACTTTTAATTGAAACGTACGGAGAACGTGGAGCAATCCTTGGATAACAGGCTTGAACAATTATCTCGATTCATGATATACTTTTATACGGGTCTCAAACAATGTTAATAGATAGTGAAATATTGCCGCAATTAATTATTGTAATAATAAGTTATTGAAGTCTGGTTCGCTTGATATATGGTTGTTGTGCTTACTGATAAGACATTCTACTGAAGCGATTGCAATCAGCCAGGTACTCTGATTATTTAACAAAAAATTGTACAGTATTTTGTAAAGTGGTCTCTTGTCAATAAAAAATAAAGCACTCTACGGTATTATCATATTTTAGAGACATTGAATTGTATTCACATATTTAAAGCAATGTTCATTTGCTCTGTGGCGCAATATATTTTGGACAGCTTTGGGCTTATTAAAATTTAAATGTGTTCTGTATATAATTCTGTCACAGGAGGAGAAGCTTTCTAAAAGGACAGCCAACCGTCTGGCCCATCAAGCAGAGATAAGAGCTGCAAGGCTTGTGAGTGCACGCTTTATTAAGTTGCTTTATAGACAAAGGTGTATACATTTGTGATTCATTACATTGGCACGATTGAGGGTCGCAATTCAGGTATCTTTTTGTCGCTTATACCTTCTTTGCTGTGGTATCTGTCGTCTTTATCGCATTAATCTAATTTTTACAGAAGCATATAATTTGCATTAATCTTTAATTATTCTTCTAAATGTATGATGATTTGCATATATTATGAATAACATAATAGATTGTAATCAATTGATAGATGCTTAATTACATCTCGAGTGCACATAGGTCAAACACAAAAAACACACACAACAATAACCGCAATTCTAGATTTGAAGCTTTCCAGAGGACAGCGCTGTCCTCTGGACAGTCCGGTCCCTTCACCTGATGAAGGCCACTTGTGTTGTGGCCGAAACGTCGTGATTTTTGTTATTTTATTTTTACCTACGTGACTTTACCGAATAGAACCAAAGAGTATAACCGCAATTCGCAACTAAGTGGTGATGACGTGACCACGGCGTTTGTGCCAGGCTATGTGCACTTTAAGGCCATGTGAAGTGTCGAACGGCCGCTGCCAGGTCATGGGACAGACCCAGCAGGTGCTATGGGTTGACTCACTGAGATGACTGGCAGATGCACCACCTGTGCCCCCTATTGTGCCAACTTGCTGTGTTTTAGCCGGAACACATACATCATACATTCAGAAAGCTATGAGCTTTAACAAATGTACAGTACTCAACAGAAGAGACCTTAGCTGGGAAATATGTGCTTGTGCAGGAGAGACGAAGAGCAAGAGAACGGGATATGGAGATGAGCGATGAGGAGAGTCAGGGGAGCGATCCCGAGGAGGAGCCTGATGATGATGATGAGGAGGAGGAGCATGAAGAGGAGGGCGAGGAGGAAGAGTTGGAAGAGGAATCGGATGTGGCAGAACGTATAAAAACTGAGCTCGGAGAGAAATTTGACGCTGATACGAATGCCTTGCAGAATGTGAAGGTTTGTCTGTATGCTACTGGAAGCATCTACGGTATATGCAAAAAAGTGCTTTATATCTTGTGTTCAGTGTGCACCACTCCACATGGCCGACTGTTTTGTAATTAAAACCGTTAATGGATATATAAATATATATACAGTGAGGGAAAAAATATTTGATCCCCTGCTGATTTTGTACGTTTGCCCACTTACAAAGAAATAATCAGTCTATAATTTTAATGGTAGGTTTAATTGAACAGTGAGAGACAGAATAACAAAAAAATCCAGAAAAACGCATGTCAAAAATGTTATAAATTGATTTTCATTTTAATGAGGGAAATAAGTATTTGACCCCCTCTCAATAAGAAAGATTTCTGGCTCCCAGGTGTCTTTTATACAGGTAACGAGCTGAGATTAGGAGCACACTCTTAAAGGGAGTGCTCCTAATCTCAGCTTGTTACCTGTATAGAAGGCACCTGTCCACAGAAGCAATCAATCAATCAGATTCCAAACTCTCCACCATGGCCAAGACCAAAGAGCTCTCCAAGGATGTTAGGGACAAGATTGTAGACCTACACAAGGCTGGAATGGGCTACAAGACCATTGCCAAGCAAATATTATTGTGTTATTTTATTTTATCAATTTATTATTTTATTCTCATTCTATGTGACTTTACCGAAAGAACCAAAGAAGACATTGCCAAGCAGTTTGGTGAGAAGGTGACAACAGTTGGTGCGATTTTTCGCAAATGGAAGAAACACAAAAGAACTATCAATCTTCTTCGGCCTGGGGCTCCATGCAAGATCTCAACCTTGTGGAGTTGCAATGATCATGAGAACGGTGAGGAATCAGCCCAGAACTACACGGGAGGATCTTGTCAATGATCTCAAGGCAGCTGGTACCATAGTCACCAAGAAAACAATTGGTAACACACTACGCCGTGAAGGACTGAAATCCTGCAGTGCCCGCAAGGTCCCCCTGCTCAAGAAAGTACATATACATGCCCGTCTGAAGTTTGCCAATGAACATCTGAATGATTCAGAGGACAACTGGGTGAAAGTGTTGTGGTCGGATGAGACCAAAATTAAGCTCTTTGGCATCAACTCAACTCGCCGTGTTTGGGGGAGGAGGAATGCTGCCTATGGCACCAAGAACACCATCCCCACCGTCAAACATGGAAGTGGAAACATTGTGCTTTTGGGGTGTTTTTCTGCTAAGGGGACAGGATAAATTCACCGCATCAAACGGACGATGGACGGGGCCATGTACCGCCAAATATTGGGTGAGAACCTCCTTCCCTCAGCCAGGGCATTGAAAATGGGTCGTGGATGGGTATTCCAGCATGACAATGACTAAAAACACACGGCCAAGGCAACAAAGGAGTGGCTCAAGAAGAAGCACATTAAGGTCCTGGAGTGGCCTATCCAGTCTCCAGACCTTAATCCCATAGAAAATCTGTGGAGGGAGCTGAAGGTTCGAGTTGCCAAACGTCAGCCTCGAAACCTTAATGACTTGGAAAAGATCTGCCAAGAGGAGTGGAACAAAATCCCTCCTGAGATGTGTGCAAACCTGGTGGCCAACTACAAGAAACATCTGACCTCTGTGATTGCCAACAAGGGTTTTGCCACCAAGTACTAAGTCATGTTTTGCAGAGGGGTCAAATACTTATTTCCCTCAATAAAATGCCAATCAATTTATAGCATTTTTGACATGCGTTTTTCTGGATTTTGTTGTTGTTATTCTGTCTCTCACTGTTCAAATAAACCTACCATTAAAATTATAGAATGATCATTTCTTTGTCAGTGGGCAAACGTACAAAATCAGCATGGGATCAAATACTGTTTTCCCTCACTGTATACATACACACGCAATGCTAACATTGAATGAGCGAAAACTGCTGGATATCAAACATGTGAAAATGACGACGCCGGTGTGAAATGAGAGCAAAGCGGGAACCCGTGTGACTGCGAACCAACAGGAGAGTTTGGAGAATGTGTTGGTGGACATCCTGGAGGTGGATGGGAGTCGCAGGCGCCACATTGTACAGCACAAGCTGTGGGAGCGGCTGGGCCCTCATCTCCCCGCTAACCGAGGATCCTTGCTCCAGTCGTGTATTCCCGTCTCAGCCCGCCTCGCTCAGCGAATGCTTCTGCTTTCCTACAAACAGCTGAGCTGCTTTGGGTACCGTGATCCTGTCAAGGTGTGGGCCTGTGTCACTGTGAAATGCCAACAATGGGGAGCAACGCTTCTCCCAACAGTGTTATAAAGTTCCCATTATTCACTGAATTGTCAGGCATGTGTAATGAGCCATTTATCAAATCGTTATCCCTGCCAATATTTACAATGCCCTGTCACTTGTACTGTTAAGCATGCACTGCATCCCATCAGCAGTATGGTATGTTGTTGCAAGTGCGCCTGCCGCAAATGAGACTAATGTAACATATTTAAAAGAAACCATGGTAATGTGAATGTAATTTTATATTCTGGGTAAATGGAGTAAATTGCATATTTTGACATGCATTCTTAATCACCAATAAGATATGATTTTTAGTTTTAATTATATAGTAGACATTTTACTGAGCCACACAATGCTGCGCATTCCGCAACCATGGAGGTGCATAGATTGAGCTATTTTGAGCCCAATTAATGGGTGTTTACATATGTGGGAGGATGCCAGAGCACCCATAGGAAACCCACAGATGCGAAGGGGCAACACGCTATCTCATACAGGTAGGACAGGTGATATTAGTCCGCGTTTACTGTACCACCCTCTTCTGGTGGGCCACGGTACGGCACCTCAAAATGTGTGCGATTCGCAAACCTCGCGTCCACAAGTGATGATTTACTGGCACACACCACCACCCTCACCAGATTTAAAGTACCACAGGGTAGACAGGTGCTTCCTATATACATTACCTCCTTAGTGCTGTGCAGGAAACTAGTTGAGCTTCACCGCAGAGAACCGAGTGCCTCCAACAAAGCAACCAACATGATTTCCTCCAGGAAGCCTAGATTTTCCTCAGTGGTCTGTAATATAAGTGCTGAGCATGCCTAGTGCAGCTTTACTCTAAGATCTCCAGAACTGGGGCAGGTCCCCAGTGGCGAGGTTGGAAATGCCACACTCTTTTATTTATATGTAAAGCATAATATTAAAACGTTGCATGCATTTAACGTTGTGGTTTCCCATGCAGATGTATGAAGAAGATGTCCTTTCAAAAAGCCAGAGCACTGCAGAAGTGTCATACCAAGTCATCTATCGGCAATGCATCTACTTTTTCTCCAGCAAGGCTTCCCAAGACAAGTTTACAGCAAATCCTGTGCTGTACACATTTCAGCCACCACCTAAGCCAGCCATTCCTATTAGGCTGGCTGTTTTGGGCCCTCCAAAATCTGGAAAAACCACAAGTAAGGTCAAGATATTGCTTTAGTCATGTTTAGGTTTTTGAAACTTTTTTTTCATTAAAAAATGAAGTGCATGGAAATGTAACAGGGAGCATGAAGAGCCTGGAATTCATGCTCTTCATCTCTGGAAATTGTCTCGATAAAATTTGGAAATGTTTCGGATTTGAACTGCCGGAAGCATTCATTGCAACATAGGTTTTAGAATGTTTTTTTCTAACCTGGCATCGTTGTTTATGAATCTTCATGGTCGAGAAGCTCACTTCCGCTCCAAGGCTATGTTTTTCGATGCAACCTACCCACAAGCTTATGTCAGTTGTCATGTGACAGCATATAAAAGTGCACTTAATTTGTTTAATTTGTGATGATGTATTGATGGCTGATTTTATGCTCCCAACAGATTGGTAGCATTATGGTAAGCCTCCATTGGCTGCTCTAATTCGGGGTGCCACAGTGGCGATGTGTTAACTGCCTCGCCTGGCATGCAGGAGGTCGTGGGTTTGACCCCGACGACGATTTTTTTGAGTTTTATTATTTTCTCCCCATGATTGCGTAGATTTTTATCAAAGCCCTCCAGATTTTCCCTCCACATTTAGAAACATGTGTTTGGAGTACTTGGCTGCTAGAAATGTCTACATGATAAGCCACTTTGTTGAACTATCAGTTTTGGCCAGGTCGTTTATAAAAAAAAAAATCTATATAACTCAATGGGCCTTACCTTTTTTATGTTGTGAAGTTTTCCACATCAAATTTAGACACCCACTTTATAACATTCCAGAACTTGTCATTTAAACATGTACAGATATTATTTAATCTTGGCTCATTGGTAAATGTATTTAAACCAATGTAATATTACATAAATAACACCGACCTGTACTCATAACTTGACATCTATAACTGTATGAGCAAACATGTAAATCATCACAACCAGATATCACAGCCCTTTATACTCAGCCTTGGCTCTCATTCAACCCAGAATTGCTTAATGAGAGTAATGATGAAATATGCTGGAAAAATCATTATTTTACCCTAGTTCACAAACATGTAGTGATGCATCATCACCCATCAGACAGCTGTCCCCTCATCCCCTCCTGCTTCCCCTCCTTGTCCATGCTATGCTCGTTAAAATACTGGTGATAATTACGGTTAACAGATGACATGGACACATTTGTATTAAACAGGCAAGGTTTTATGGGGGGGGGGGGGGGTTCCCCATAGAATTTCAGAGTTGTAAATAAAAAAAAACTCAATAAAAATGAAATCGAGATACACCTCTGCCAAGCATCCGTTTCAGGTTGTAAAAAATAAAATTTTCAATGAGATACACCTTGAAATTATTTTGCATAGCATCTTCACTCTGTTCTGCTCCTTACAGGAACTACGTGTACCTCTTGCTTCACACAACTTCCAGCTGAGCCAAGCCTCCCCTAACAAATGCCAGCCCCGCTTCACGTTCTTCCTCTGTCCCCCATTAGGATTTCCTTCAGTTCATGCACGTTGCATATTTGTTTTTTATTGCATTGCAGTTTGCCGTATTGGGGGGGGCGGGGGGGGGGCGGCGATCGGCCTCCTCCAAATCCGTGATGCTATGGGGCTGCTGCATGGCAATTGTGGAAGGATGCATTGCATCAAGTTGCATTGCACTGTATACATCCTGTGGTGCTGACAGCATTCAAACGACCACAGTCATGAACGGATCACTGGTTGCAGTTGCAGGCAGGCTGGCGCTGGAGTATGGGGTGCTGCGGCTGTCGGCAGGGGAGGCGGTGCGCATTGTGCTGGCTACCCAGCCTGGCACGGCCCTAGCAGCACAGCTCACGGCTGTCCTGCTATCTGGGCAGGCTGTGCCTGACGAGCTGACCACCCGGTGCTTGGACGTAGTACTCATGCAGCCAATCTGCCATACGCACGGGTACAATGCAGTACAGCGCAGTTATATTAGGGCGCATGTTATACAACACATAATTACGCTTATATGAGCACTTACGCAGAGCTGAAACACGCATTTGGTCTCCTGCATCGAGTGTGATTCACATTCAGGAGCTGATGTACATGTGCACATGAAGTGAACGCTGCCACACGTGTGTGTAGTTGTGTCCGAAGAGTCAACGATAAGATATTTCCTGTGCTTCATACTTATAGCATTTACAGTAAAACTATCCTACAGGTTCGAGACAATGTATGAAGTGAAATGCACGTGATGATAAAATTCACACAAAGCTCACGCATGGCTGCAAATTATACGTAATGACTCGCTTACCTGCAGTCTAATGGCCACCTAATAATTCAGATAATAAAACTAATCACTACAAATTCAGCCAAAAGCGGCTGCAAATAGTAACACAGTGAGGTGTCCAATCACATTGTATTAGTGTTTTTCTGAAGTTAGTTCATAAGTTCACCTTGTCTGGCTGTCATTCAGGTTTGTGCTCGATGGCTATCCCTTGACGCAGAGGCAGGTACGCCTGCTGGATGCTCGCGGGATTGTGCCGGTGATCGTTGTCGCACTGCAGCTGGCGAGTTCGGAGGTGCTACAGAGAGGATTCCAAGATTGCAAGGAGCCTGGGAGGTAGGTCTCCTTATTGCTGATAACATTTTATTTTTGGACCCAGGTGTACGTTGTGGATTATACATGGGTCAGTGTTCCTATAAGCTGGTGTTTGTCCAAGGACACACAATTTTGTTGGTCATGGCTGTCAGATTTGTGTCTAAATAATCCAAATAACATGCACCGCAAATTACAGCCTGTGTGATGCAACTCAGATTTAATGTTATTGTCTGGGCAGGTCTTACCCGCAGCTCGACAGCCCCCAGGCACTGGCTGTAAAGATGTCTCATCATCAGAGAGAAGTGGCTGCTGTGCAGGACTTTTACAAGCGTCAACACCAGAATTGGATTCTCATGGATGGCACCCGGAGCAAGTGGTGGCTGTGGACTGAGGTGCTGCGCCATGTGGCAGTGAGTGTGCGGCAGATCCAGGACTATCTGCATGACATTGGCCGAGGTACGAAGCAATCGCACCAAGACCTTTTGAATGTGCCGTTGCCCATCACAATACGTGCAGCACAGTACAACCTCACATGTCCAACTCACTGGAGACCGAGCGATAGATGGAATATGTGCAAAGGTAGAATAAGTGAACGTCTTTAGAAAATGTCAGTTCCCCTTGAACAAATACTGCACTGGGTGTGGACGTTAATTGGTTAGAGCAAATATGTAATGGTCAGATATGGGACGCACTGTAATTTATTAAGCTTAAAAATCAGACAGATTAGCACTTAGCTCATTCTTCACTCGTGTTCGTGTCTATGTTGGCCCTTTGAAATGCTCAGGATGGGCGGCCCGGATTGAGGGTCTGTGCGTGACTCCAGAGGAGTGTGAGGTGCGGCTGGGTGAGTTCAGGGAGTACTGTCCAGTCAGCTTGGCACTCCGCGGGGAGTACGTCTGCTGTGACGCTCCATCCTTGCAGTGGACTGCAGAGTTCTGCGGACACTACTACAAAATGGCTTCAGAGACTGATCTGCAGGTGGGATTGTGCTTGTGCTGTCTATTCCCTCGATATCGTCTTTTTTTAATACAGCTCTTATACCCTTGCTCAATTCAAGAAATGTGTTAACTCGTTCCCATTATACGTTTCACAGTGCTGTCTGCTGCTGGCCGAATTACATTTTGGGCCATTGGGCCTGTGCTTAGAAATTGTAAAAAATGTTTTACAAGTCATTTGTATTATGTATACACAAAGTCAGTGTCTACTTGTCTCAAATGAGCATTGGTCAGTGCTTATCTGTTGGTGGCCTTGAGAAAATGATAAATATTTAACATGTTGAATTATTTACTGTATCTAAAACTTACCTTTCTCATGTGTTATATATGTGTATGCAATATATATGTAATGACTTTGTAATAGCACAATGGAAAACAGTTCTTAAATAATTGCACTTTTAATCAATCAAAACTTTAATTATAACTATGGGATCCCATCAAGAAAAGTCACTGTTGCAAGGCAGACATGCTAGGAAATTCAATTATTTTGTACATAGGTAAACAATTGCAGAGAATTGTGCAAAGTAAAATAATTTAAAAAATATTGTTTCAAATGTGATGAAAAATGCCTTTTTGTTGCCATTCTCTGATGTATTGTTATTTTTTGCTCTCCATACTTAATAGTGTGATGTCTGATCGATGTGTTACTTGTGCCTATTTCAACTAATACTTATCTTGTGTCTTTTAAATGTACCTTTACATTTGCATATTTGTTCTCTGCTCATGGACAAGGTGCACACAATCATGATCACTGCTACTCGGGCTACAGAATGTGATGGGCTGAACCAGGCAATTACATCCATACAAAACATATAATATATGCAAGTGCAATATTTGGCTGTAACTAAGCACTGGCACATTGCACCCCCTGCCCAGATTTTCCTTAAAAGTCCAGAGCAGTTCACGGCTCCGCTGGCACCGCGTGCTCTGCCTCCAAGCGACGCACTGCCCCGTCCCCTCACACCGGCACAAGTAAAGCAGATGTTCCCCAAGCAGGTGGAGCTTCAGGGCTACTGCCCTGTCACCTACCTGGACGGCCAGCTCAGGTAAACCCACCTCATCCTCAATCTCAATTGTGTTTCTGTTATATATTTCATTATGGGACCTCCTTTGCCAGTACCAAAATATGAGAATAGGTTTTCCCCTTTTTTCTGGCAACAAAACAGGTGTTAAGATGTTAAAAAAACCAAACTGAAACCTTTTACAAGGAATCATGTCTGCACTAACCACACTACTTGTGGTCAGAATGCAAACAAAAACATACTCGCCAAAAGGCATCCTCTGGTCTAACACCGTCTAACACCGTTTGAGACTAGGCTCGAAAGAAAGCTGTCTCTGGTGTGGACCAATCAGTTTAAAAGGCAATGCCAATATACTATCAGTGTTTTTTTTTCATTCTGACCACAAGTATTGTGGTTAATGCAGACATGATTTCTTGTAAAAGGTTTCAGTTTGGTGTTTTAACATCTGAACACCTATTTTGTTGCCAGAAAAAGAGGCAAAACCTATTCTCACTGTTCTACATTTGTTTGGTCTTGTTAAATGAGTATGACTTATTGGAGCCAAACGAGCATCGGGTACTGAACTTAATTCTAAGAATATGTAACAAAATTAACTGGCCTGTTAAATAAATGTTGGCAGTGTTGTTCAATAACATTGAATGTGTGCAGAAAGTGTCATTTTTCACTTGGCAGATCTCGTGTTGTTAAAAATGATCCACTTAAAACGTGATACTGGTAGTGACTATACGGCTGTGATGGTAAACACTTCTAGACAGGAAGGGTATAGAGAAATGCACATCTTTAGATAGGCCTAAATAATTCAAGGAGTCCATAAGGTAGATGTTTCCACTCCAATGGAAACCCTAATTTATTTCAGCTATGACTGCTTGGTGAATGGGAGTATGGAATTTGCTGCAGAATACAGAGGAAAGGTTTACACTTGCCTGTCGGAAACTGCACGGCAATCATTTTTGAAGTAAGTGCCTTTTTAAATTTAATGTCCATCATACATATTTTTTCCACATCATATGCGTATCATGTGTATATGTATTACACTGGAATTGTAATGACGTGAAATAATTTGTGTTATACTTTTTTTCCTGTAGGTTGCCAGAAAAATATTCAGATATTAAACTCCCTAAAAAACTTCCACCAAAGAGAGTGCCGATATCACTGACCTCACTTCCAATGTTGGGCTACCTGGAGCAGGTATGCTGTTCATACATTTTCCAGCATAAAAACGCATATTTTCTACTGACTTGTATATGCAAGGAGCAGGCAGGATATATTTAAGTAAAGAAATATAACCGGGTGTTTGTGTATTTTCTGAAGTACTGATTTAAAATGTATATATACAAAGGAACCTCTAGGCACATTGGTAAGAAGACTGTGTGGGTGGCTGTGGTTTTCTTTCCTGCTCAGGGCTTGTCAACTGCTTTGGTGAAAGCCTTGAGTGCAGTGGGGTGCCTCAAGCCTAAATACCCCTTCCTTTCTCTGCACCGCTCCGCCCTTCTGCTCGTCGCATTCCATCTCAAGAGTAAGTTCACTCACCGTTAAACCTTGGCCTTTCATTTTGAAACAGTGAACTGTGGGCAGACAAGCGCAACTAAGCTTTTTTTTGGCATTGCACAGCTATAAACTCATCACCATGGGTCTTCTTTAAAACTGAGTTACCGTGAGCAGTGTTTGGTGGGGGGAGGTGCTTTGAATGCAGCAGATCCTGTATATTGAATGTGCCTGTGGCAGCCTTGAACCCTAGGAGTTCCGAGCACGTGAAGACCGATTACAAGCAGCGACTGCGGAGGTTTGAAGAGTGCTGTGAACTCCTGGTGCACCTGGGTTCCACCATGCCACGCGCCTTCCAGCCTATCGACCAGCGCCCACCTGCACTGGAGCACAGTATGCAGACCTTCCTAGCCATTGAGAAGCGTGGGTCAAAATATCTAGACAAATCTGCAGGGATGACCCAGGTAGGGCTTGTATAACGGACAAGTGAATGTCAAATACCATTAATCAATCTGGAGTAAATGGCCATATATTCAACTTTGTTAAATTTTCATAACATATTGAAGAGTACTTAAAGTTGTGTGATGGATATATAAGCAGGACTCTCTTCTGTGACTCCACACATACATTAAATATTTTTAGTCTATTGGCCTATTGACTTTTTGTTAATTGAATTATCTTGCACATGTGTTGAACCAATTTTGCAAATAAAAAGCTTTAAACGATCCTGTTTTTTCCTCAATGGTTTTTTTTTAATTCTGGGATGCCTCGGAACAATTGCTCTATATAATTCGAGGGATTGCTTTAGAAATCGATTAAATGAATGCTCCTTGCAATGATAGAATTTCTGCTTGCCTAAGTCTACCACCTGTCAATCCACTGCTGGATGAAGACCTTCAAATGCCATGTCAGTCTTGGGGATTTTTTTTAATGAAACTTAACCACAGTCTAGATTTGAAGCTTTCGTGACTGCAAGGATCCATACTTTGTTTTTTTTCGGTTAAGTCACGTGGGTAAAAAAAAAACTAAATTAAATCACGACGTTTCAGAGGCAACACAAGCTTCCTTCATCAGGTGTAAAAAAGGGCACAGCAAAATACAAAAAATTGCATTTTCCTTTGCCCTTTTTTACACCTGATGAAGCTTGTGTTGCCTCTGAAACGTCGTGATTTTATTTAGTTGTTTTCATTTATTTTATTTTTTACTTACATGACTTTACCGGAAAAAAACAAAGAGTATTAACCACAGTCGTCAGTGCGGGTTGGTGAAGACGTTAGGAGGCCCAGAGCTGCTTAATACATCACTTGCCATGAATGTTAGCTGTTGTTGGGAATCTAAATCAGGTCGCTGGATTCATAATACAATGCGCTAATAACTCTTCCACCACTTCGACTTATAAAGAGACAGGTGAAATATTACAAACAATGGAATTTCGTGTATTGAAATCTTAGACATCTATATATTCCAGTGTATTCGAAAAAAGTTTTTCTGACTGGCGTCCTGGCTGGATGACTATAGTGACGTCACCACGCACATCTGCTTGATGACATCCCCTGCATCCCCAACCACCTTCCACCCCGGCCGCATTTTTTGATTGATTTTATATGTTTAGGCGGGTAAGAAACATTCAGCCTTAAGCTTATTTACAGGAACGGCCCGCTGAGGACAATGGTAAAGCAAAAACAATTTGAAGTTACAGCAAATAACTCAGAAGCATTGCAGACATTTGAGAAGAAACATTCGAGGAAGACAAAATTAAAGTGATGCACCATTCAAGTAATACCGGCAGGTCACAGAAATAAATTGTAACATCAAATCGCACTCCGTTCACCACCTGTGCAAGAAAAGGGATATCTTTCACTGTGCTATGATATATAGAATAAATAAAATGATGCGTAAATGTTACATTAAGGTGAATAAAAATAACTAAAGCAATATTTCATACTATGTTCGAAGAAAAAGTTTTGCTGGCTGACAGGACGTCACGTCTGCAGCCAGGTTAGGGACGGACGGTCACGTCCAAACGACGTGCGGGTTGCGAATATTAATGTTTACCATACTCAAATGAAGATGGTGATCAATAATGACGTGGGCTCGGATAAAATTCTAATGTATTTTATTCTTCTCCGTCTATGACATATCGGATGAAAGTGGAGGAATTTCAGTTTTATTTTTGTGCATCGCACAGCCCGAGCACATCCATTGTTGACATTGGTGAATGGTGAGCGGGATGACAAACTTAAATTAAATGTAGATTACCGATGTATTATGATAGCGGCACATATTGTATTTATCTAAATCCACATACGAGTTCGATGATAATCTTAATGAACTGCCATAGAGGTGTACATTGAAATGGTACAGCCAATCTCGCAGAAAATAAAGATAGGTAGGCAGGAATGCAAATTACAAAACGCCAAGATTAATGACAGCACCAGAACAGACATTTAATGATCTAACCATATCAAAAATTGCAACCACAAAAAGAGCACTAAAAGGGGCCTGGCACAGGAGACGTTAATAAGATGGGACAGAGGGCCCCAACGTGGCCGCAGAATCTGCTCAATGAAGGCGAATCTCATCGGTGCACCCCCGTGACCCGAAGCCATCATCATCATCTCGATGGAGTCCCCAAGCCGAGCAAGACTACGGGGGTGACATCACCCTCCAAAAACCTTGGCGGAGAGAAAGAGATTCCCCCATCGCAGCCACGCCGTGGCAGCACAGAGCAGGGCAACGTGGATATTTAAATAACGAAACGACGCTGCGCTGCGCGCACCACACACGCGAAAAAAAAAATCAAAACCCAGAAGGCAAAAAAAAACCCCTCCCCTGGCCAGGGATTCGGCAATCTCCGGCTCACCCCGCCCGGGCCGCTCGGCTCTTTCCGCTCATTCTCCTCTTCCCCCCCCCTACCCCTCCATCGTCCGCAGCTCTGTTCTCCTTCACCGCCGCCGCTGCTGCTGCTGCTCCTTCATCATCACCACCACCACCACCTCCTCCTCTATCATCTTCATCATCATCAGCGGCGGCGGCAACCTCCTTCAGGAGAACATGGAGGCCCTCCTCCTCCTCCTCGCCGCCGCCGCCGCCTCCGATCCCTCGGATGCCGTGGGGTCGCTCCATTGATTCCGCCGTTGCCCGGTCGGAGCTGCACAGGCGAGGGGAGGCAGGCGACGGAGCGGATTTAATCGCAATATTTATTCGGTTTTATCTGATTTTATTGTGTTTTTTGGGGGGGGTGGGCGGCGGGCGGGGCGCCCGGGGGGGGGGGGGTGGTGTCGGCGGGAAATTAAAGCCGTGAGGGCGATAACAACAATAATAATAATTATTGTTACAGAAATTAAGACGACAACGGCGGCTGAGCGAGGCAAAGCGCCGCGTCTGGAAGAGGGAAGGGGCTTGGAGGTGGTTCGGAGGAAGCCGATGGTCGCGTCGGATTTCCTTTTGCCGTCAAGACGCCACTACGGCATTGGCAGCAGCAGCAGTAACAACAACAAAATTAATAACGACGACGAAATAATAACGGTGCAACAGAAAACAGCGTCCGTGCGTCGACGATAGCGAAGGGAGCAAATCCGCGCCCCGTTGCCTTGTCTCGCCGATCATGACAGCGGTGCCGTGGTGGTGGTGAGGTTGTAGCGACGCCGTGGTGGTGGTGGTGAGGTTGTAGCGGTGCTGTGGTGGTGAGGTGGTGGTGGTGAGGTAGCGGTGCCGTGGTGGTGAAGCGGTGGTGGTGGTGAGGTTGTAGCGGTGCCGTGGTGGTGGTGAGGCGGTGGTGGTGAGGTTGTAGCGGTGCCGTGGTGGTGGTGAGGTTGTAGCGGTGCCGTGGTGGTGGTGAAGCGGTGGTAGTGAGGTTGTAGCGGTGCCGTGGTGGTGGTGAGGCGGTGGTGGTGAGGGGGTAGTAGTAGTAGTGGTGGTGAGGTTGTAGCGACGCTTGACAATAGCGCGAATCCAACAACGACGTTTCAACGCCGCGTGCCCGGCAAATCGTAAGCGGCGCGTACAATAACTAACGAGCAATAGTCGCGGCTACGGCGAGCCTCTTTAAAAAAAACCCGTGGTCCACAATTTTATCAACGCAAGAGAAGAAATGAATTCCACGGAGGTCGCCGACGATTCGTCCAACGACGCGGACATCGTGGCCTTCTTCAAGTCAGGTGAGAAGGCGGCTCCCAGATCCCCCTCCGCATCCACAGATCCCGCGTGCGTGGAGGTCCATGCCCCCTCCCCCCCCCGGTGATCTGATCTCACGTCACTCGGATCACAGGGTCACCCTTCTTAATTGCTTTGATTTCCCAGGTCACCCAGATATTGCGGGTGTCCTGATTGTGATCTCGTGCCGCTTGATCAACGGGGCCCATATTCTTGGTTCTTTCGGTAAAGTCACGTAGAAGGGATGCGTTCCCAAGTTCTCGACTTTCAGGGCAATCCCCGTTTGTAAATCTCCTGTTCCCAGATCCGAGTTCGTAGGTCTCTTGACCCCAGGCCCTCTGGTTGTGTTGCCAAATTCCTAAGGTGTTTTCAGGTCCCCTGACCCCAGGTTTCGGGGTGCGATTCAAAGTGCGATGTTTTAGGGTCCATCTGATCCCAGGTTCCTGTTTGTGGTTTCACATCTGCCGACCCCTTATTTCCTGGTCTTGGTGGTAGGTCCTCACCTCTTAGGTCTCAGGATGTGTGTTGGGTTTTTATTTCGTCAGGATCCTGGTTCTAGGGCCCCTTATCCATTGATAGTGGTCGCCAGAGTCCCTGATCTCAGGTCCCCTATTAATTGGGTTCCACGGTGGGCATTGGTGGGTAAGGTCTCGTTTTCCTCTTTTTTTTTTGCAGGTTCCAACATTGTTGCACGGGTCATTCATTTTATCAGCAGGTTGCAGACTCAGGGCCCATGGTGTCTTGATTTTTGCTCAGAAATGCCATGCTCAGGTCTAACCATGTATTTCAGTGGCAAATTGCATAAAATGTCTCTTGTGATTGTTTTTCCAACCGTAAGCAATACTTTAAATGGCAAATCACATTACGTGTAAATTTACACTTGAAGTGTTTTATGAAACTGGCCACTCGTCCTTTACCTCGGCTCTGAGTCATTGGGCTTCTGGGAGCTCTGAAATGCTCAGGTTTCAGGTCTTGATCCCAGACTGCATTCCCTGAGTGTCATGCAACGTCCACCGTTCCGCAAGTCTGGACATGTCTCGGGAGTTCCATGGTTTCTAGGCCTCAGGTTCCCAAATGTTCGGTGCCAAAGTTAATATCTGTGCCATGGCCCCAGCTCCGGGTCGTATGCCTACAGAAAGTACCTAGATTCGGGTCACTCGTCATCATGTAGTAACTAGCACGTTCAGATCGCACCCTACTCAGGCTGCTGCTAGAGGAGTAGTGATGTCATGACTCTTGGAGGCAGAGAGAATGATGCTGCTGCTGCCTCATTCGCCCTGGGAAAATGAGATTTGCTGGAGGGTTCTGTTTCTTTGGATTTCGTGCGTTTAGTGCATTAGCCGGTGTCCAATGTCTCGAGGTCCGCAGCGGTTCGGTTTAGTTCCTAGCTGTTCAGTTTGATGTCATGTTCTTATTGGTGATGGTTGTTTTCATCAAGGTTTGGCTCTGTGCACCTCCCCGTGGTGTGGTTCCTTTAGGGGCTTGCTTTGAATGCAGTGCGTGTTCGACAGATATGGGGTCAATTACGGTACTATTGCAATTGTGCAATTCGTTATACATTGTAATCACATTGTGATTTCAGCGAACGATGCTGCTATGACTAATTCTAATTGATCTCAGGCCTAGTGTTCAGAGCTTCTACTACTGTACCCTTTAATAAACCCTGCTGGTGAGGGACTGGGATGGAATAATGTAAGAGAGAGAGAGAGAGAATGCCTGACGTGTGCGCTAACATATATAACGGAACGGTGGGAAATGCAAGAATGATGTTGTATATACCGGTATTGTCAGTGTGTTCAGACGTAACCAGGATGTTTACATTTATATTATTGTCAAATGAGAAAAATGTTGATGGAGGTGGTTATAACAATGGTGGTAGGCAGTGTGAGTGATGGTGGTGCTGGTAGGGTTGGTGATGGTGGTGGTGACAGTGTTAGTGATGGTGGTGCTGACAGTGTTAGTGATGGTGGTGCTGGTAGGGTTAGTGATGGTGGTGCTGACAGTGTTAGTGATGGTGGTGCTGGCGGTCTTAGTGATAGTGGTAGTGTTGGTGATGGTGGTGTTGGGAGTGTTAGTGATGGTGGTGTTGAAAGTGTTAGTGATCGTGGTGCTGGCAGTGTTAGTGATGGTGGTGCTGGCAGTGTTAGTGATAGTGGCAGTGTTAGTGATGGTGGTGCTGGTAGTGTTAGTGATGGTGGTGCTGGTAGTGTTAGTGATGGTGGTGCTGACAGTGTTAGTGATGGTGGTGCTGGCAGTGTTAGTGATAGTGGCAGTGTTAGTGATGGTGGTGCTGGTAGTGTTAATGATGGTGGTGCTGGCAGTGTTAGTGATGGTGGTGCTGGTAGGGTTAGTGATGGCAGTGTTCGTGATAGTGGTAGTGTTAGTGATGGTGGTGCTGACAGTGTTAGTGATGGTGCTGGTAGGGTTGGTGATGGTGGTGCTGACAGTGTTAGTGATGGTGGTGCTGACAGTGTTAGTGATGGTGGTGCTGGCAGTGTTAGTGATGGTGGTGCTGGCAGTGTTAGTGATGGTGGTGTTGGCATTGTTAGTGATGGTGGTGCTGACAGTGTTAGTGATGGTGGTGCTTGCGGTGTTAGTGATGGTGGTGCTGGCAGTGTTAGTGATGGTGGTGCTGACAGTGTTAGTGATGGTGGTGCTGGTAGTGTTAGTGATAGTGGTGCTGACTGTTAGTGATGGTGGTGCTGGTAGTGTTAGTGATGGTGGTGCTGGCAGTGTTAGTGATGGTGGTGCTGGTAGTGTTAGTGATGGTGCTGGCGGTGTTAGTGATGGTGGTGCTGACTGTTAGTGATGGTGGTGCTGACAGTGTTAGTGATGGTGGTGCTGGTAGTGTTAGTGATGGTGGTGCTGATAGGGTTAGTGATGGTGGTGCTGGCGGTCTTAGTGATAGTGGTAGTGTTGGTGATGGTGGTGTTGGGAGTGTTAGTGATGGTGGTGCTGGTAGTGTTAGTGATGGTGGTGCTGAAAGTGTTAGTGATCGTGGTGCTGGCAGTGTTAGTGATGGTGGTGCTGGTAGGGTTAGTGATGGTGGTGTTGACAGTGTTAGTGATGGTGGTGCTGGTAGTGTTAGTGATGGTGGTGCTGGCAGTGTTAGTGATGGTGGTGCTGGCGGTGTTAGTGATGGTGGTGCTGACAGTGTTAGTGATGGTGCTGGTAGGGTTAGTGATGGTGGTGCTGACAGTGTTAGTGATGGTGGTGCTGGTAGTGTTAGTGATGGTGGTGCTGGCAGGGTTAGTGATGGTGGTGCTGGCATTGTTAGTGATGATGGTGCTGATAGTGTTAGTGATGGTGGTGCTGGTAGGGTTAGTGATGGTGGTGTTGGCATTGTTAGTGATGATGGTGCTGATAGTGTTAGTGATGGTGGTGCTGGCGGTGTTAGTGATGGTGGTGCTGGTAGTGTTAGTGATGGTGGTGTTGGCATTGTTAGTGATGGTGGTGCTGGTAGTGTTAGTGATGGTGGTGCTGGCGGTGTTAGTGATGGTGGTGCTGGTAGTGTTAGTGATGGTGGTGCTGACAGTGTTAGTGATGGTGGTGCTGACAGTGTTAGTGATGGTGGTGCTTACTGTTAGTGATGGTGGTGCTGGTAGTGTTAGTGATGGTGGTGCTGGTAGGGTTAGTGATGGTGGTGCTGGCGGTCTTAGTGATAGTGGTAGTGTTGGTGATGGTGGTGTTGGGAGTGTTAGTGATGGTGGTGCTGAAAGTGTTAGTGATCGTGGTGCTGGCAGTGTTAGTGATGGTGATGCTGGTAGGGTTAGTGATGGTGGTGCTGGTAGGGTTAGTGATGGTGGTGCTGGTAGTGTTAGTGATGGTGCTGGCGGTGTTAGTGATGGTGCTGATAGTGTTAGTGATGGTGGTGCTGAAAGTGTTAGTGATGGTGGTGCTGGCAGTGTTAGTGATGGTGGTGCTGACTGTTAGTGATGGTGGTGCTGGCAGTGTTAGTGATGGTGGTGCTGACAGTGTTAGTGATGGTGGTGCTGGTAGTGTTAGTGATGGTGGTGTTGGCATTGTTAGTGATGGTGGTGCTGGCAGTGTTAGTGATGATGGTGCTGGTAGGGTTAGTGATGGTGGTGCTGGCGGTGTTAGTGATGGTGGTGCTGGTAGGGTTAGTGATGGTGGTGCTGAAAGTGTTAGTGATGGTGGTGCTGGTAGTGTTAGTGATGGTGGTGCTGGTAGGGTTAGTGATGGTGGTGTTGGCATTGTTAGTGATAGTGGTGCTGGCAGTGTTAGTGATGGTGGTGCTGAAAGTGTTAGTGATGGTGGTGCTGGTAGTGTTAGTGATGGTGCTGGCGGTGTTAGTGATGGTGCTGATAGTGTTAGTGATGGTGGTGCTGAAAGTGTTAGTGATGGTGGTGCTGACAGTGTTAGTGATGGTGGTGCTGGCAGTGTTAGTGATGGTGGTGCTGACAGTGTTAGTGATGGTGGTGCTGACAGTGTTAGTGATGGTGGTGCTGACAGTGTTAGTGATGGTGGTGCTGACAGTGTTAGTGATGGTGGTGCTGACAGTGTTAGTGATGGTGGTGCTGGCAGTGTTAGTGATGGTGGTGCTGGTAGGGTTAGTGATGGTGGTGCTGGTAGTGTTAGTGATGGTGCTGGCTGTGTTAGTGATGGTGGTGCTGACAGTGTTAGTGATGGTGGTGCTGGCGGTGTTAGTGATGGTGGTGCTGACTGTTAGTGATGGTGGTGCTGACAGTGTTAGTGATGGTGGTGCCGGCAGTGTCCACTGATCGTGGTTTTGGATGGTTAAATTTCAGGCTGAGCGCAAGCCCCAAGCATATGCTGTGTGTCCGGTTTGTACAGTAGCGCACCTCCCCCATCACCCCCCTCTCCCACCCTCCTTTGTTACGGGATCTGCGAGACTGTGAGTGCGCGTGTGCGCTGGGGTTGACGGTGCCCCGTGATTCATGCACCAGAATTGCCATTAAGCGTCTGCGCGTGTGACGACGGCCTTTCTCGTGAGCGTGGGCACTCCATGTAAGGGTGACTTAGG